ATAATAAAATTCTAAAATTTTTAAATATTAATATTTTTAATTTCTTTATTTACCAACAATCTTCCTAATAATTTTACCAACAACCCAATAACATATTTTTGGAAAAATTAGCCTCGGGAAACTACGCGCGCACCCTTTGTGTAAGACTAAATCATAATACTACTAGTAATTATTATAAATATAAAAATATATTTATATCAAAAAATATTTAATTTAGAAATCAAATTTCCAACAAATAAAAAAATATAAAAACAAAAATAAAAAAAATCAGAAAAAAACAAATACCCAAAAAAAAAATCAAAGAAAAAACAAGCCAAAAAAAGAAAAATACAGGAACGCGAAAAGGTAGCAAAATCGCAAAATACTATCTTTTTCTAAAAATTCAAAGTTCCAGAAGGTCGAAAAATAGGCTCACTAAAGTTTAAAGCGGCGGGTACGGAGCCATATGGCCAAATAAGCGATAAAAAAAATCAATCGTCGTATTTTCAGACCAACGCCGTTGTGGTACAAAGCACATCTCGAAGTCAAATATATATAAAAAACCAACCGGTTCGGAGCACTTTTAAACGTTCAGATGTCGTTTTGCGTCGCAATCGCAGGGGATTCTGCACCTTGTCAAAAGTAAACAAAATGTGAGGATTTTGTAGCAATTTCAACTACAACCACCACTACACTACACTACGCTACACTCCACTCCACTCAACTACAACTACAACCACAACATTACACTACACTATACTACACTAATTACATTACACTCCACTACAACTACAACTACAACTACAACCACCACCACTACATTACACTACGCTATACTACACTAATTACATTACACTGCGCTACATTGCACTAGAGTACACTACACTACACTACGCTACACTACTCTACACTACACGACACTACACTACACTAACTACAACTACAACTACAACTACGCTACTTTACACTACACTACACTACACTACATTACATTACATTACACTACACTCATTGCACCACCATAAATCCAACTGCAACTACACTACACTAATTACACTACACCACAACTACACCTCCACCACACTACAACTACAACTACAGCTGCACTACACCACGCTACATCCACCAGTTGTGGGTGAGGTGACCACTGCAACCATGCATCCATTGCAGCAAACACAACTCCAGCCACCTTTCAGTCCATCAGTGGGTTCGCTCTTGCATCCGTGATTCACAACAACCAAGCTCTCCTATAGGTTTCCTATTCTGAAACTTCCGCCACCGCCTTGTGCGGTACTACTGGTAATTATTATTCATTTAAATATAACTAAATATTATATAGTAATATATATAATCATACACTATGCTTATATTTTAATCTTAAATTCATAATACGAGTATATTAGTTAAATTATTGTAATTCTTAAATTCATTGAATTTCCGTGGTAAGAATTTTCAATTAATTTATGTCTTATTAATGAGAGATATTTTTTGGAGGAACAATGTCATTTAATTGAGATATCAAACATTGCACAACCATCTTCATGAGTGCCTGTGCCAGTAATGCTTCCAACAAATACACGGAGAAAAGCTTTCACATAGCTAATCTGAAGTATTCTGCAAAAAGAAAGTTTTGATTGGCTCAGATCTTTCCCATTGACGGTAAAAAATGAAGTCTTGGAGCCACCAAGCTAGGATTGAATGCAATTCAGAGATGGTTGCTTTCTTGTGATTGTCTAGCCTCGTTGCTGCAAAAGATCGTGACTGTGAGCTTCTGACCCCCTCCGCCAGTGAAGGCAACAAAGCAACCTTGGAAGCCCGATGGGTGCACTGGCACTGCACTTCCATTGTTTCACGACTTCAACCGACTTCAACCAGTGAAGCAAACATGGTCCAGCACAAAACTTTCAAGGCTGGTTTCCTGGTCTCAACTTCAGAATCTTCAGACATGTGGCAGACTGTGGAGCCAGGACATGGAAGTAAGGCCCCCATCAAGGTAGCAGCAGCTCCGCTACCGCATCCTGCAACATCTGAAACAGAGAAAGGAATGGGTTTGAAGTGTGTATCAGGTGGCATAGGGACCAAAATATACCAAAATCAATCATCCGTTGATATTTTCAGAAGTTGAAACCAATTTCGGCCACAATGAAGAATTGGAGCCGTTGATTTTGTGAGCGACCCATTGTTGAAAAACGATGAAAAACGGATCAAACACAGGAAAGCCACTCTGAAATGCTGCCCTGCTGCTGGGGGGAGGCGGCAGCACTTCCGGCTGCCGAAGAAAAACACCGCAGGAAATGGTTGCTTCAACCTGGCTGACCCCGCTGACCCTGCAGTGCCGATTTCAATCATGCGAACGAACAGAACTCGCTCGGCCGATCCCCAAAATCTGCCTGCCGAATTCCACACCACTTCAGCGATTCAAGCCTCAAAAGGCATCACTATTTGCATTGTGGTAGAAGCATGTAGAAACAGCAAAACCTTGGTTCTCTAGTGAACCCAAATCGCATCAAATAGCTGATAAATCAATGTTTGTCCTCCCAAAATACATCAAAACGTGGTGGTATAGGTTTTGCCCCATGCCTGTTTCATTCTAAATATTCCAAGCAAGTCGCTTTGAAGGAATGTCCAGAGTCTGCATCGACTCACGAGCTTCTTCCCAATACTCCTGTCGGCACACTGACACTGCGTCTAGGCCCTAGGCATGGGTCAAATCTTTCTTTGCACTCGATTTACTTGCTGTCTGCTCGTCTGACAATGACCCCTTGGCAAGACCATCATCGTTCCCAAGAATTGATCATACTTGATCCGCAAAAACAGAGGCACCTGCAATTGCTGCTCTCCGCAGTTCAAAGGTTGCAGAAATCGTGCAATGGTCACCGGCAGCAGCAGTTCTTCATCGATCTTTGCGATGGCTTCACCCGCTTGGAAGACGGCAGCTCGGAGCCACAGTTGGGGCGCGTACAGCCGCGCATCGGGATGGGCATGGCTCGGAAACAGAGAGCTGGCACCAGGCACCATGGGAGGCTCCGCAGTTCCAGCAGTGGAAATGGTGCTGGTTCCAGTCGTTCCAGTCGTTCCAATCTCCTGTTTGGTGCGTGGAATTCGAAGCTCCACTGTGAGCAGTCTTTCAATTTCAAAGGAGCGCAGCTTGGTGGAGTTGGCTGACCATGTCCATGTAAGATGCTTTTCACCCACAGTGTCACATGGGACGGCCTGTAAAGCCACGGCTTGCAAAACTTGCCCTGAGCTACAAGGACATATACAGAGTCGAATTTGAAGCTTGGCTGAAACATCATGGAATTCAGTGTCCGAAAAGTCCACAAAAACCATGGCTCTGCCATCCGTGGTCAGGATGGGGGATGGATCATAGGTGGATCTTCGAAAACTTACCATTTCGGAGGCCATAGAGACACCCGGCATTTGGCCAGAAAGATCGTCATTCGACAAGGGCGGATGAACATCTTCACTATGCAGGGGATCGCTGTACAGTGGGTGAAGTTTCAAGCCAATTGAAAAGCGATCAGCAAATTTGGTTGTACAGTAGTCACTGTAGTCCTTTCCACCACGGCCATAGCTGCCATGGCTGCCATGGCTGCCATGACCAAGACACACGGTGCAACTTTCGAAGATCTTATTCCAGGTGGAGTCACTGGCTGGTGGCTGTGCCAGGAACATCTGTCCGCCCCAAAGCCAGGCATACACCGTGACTTCTCCGGACTCTGTCGACTCTGTCGACTCTTTGCTGCTTCCAAATCCACGATTTGCCATGGATAAATGGTGTAGTTGGAAGATAAAGTCCTCAAAACCCATGGTGTAATGACAATCTTCCACCACCTCTGGCGCAAAGTCTGGAGTCCGTGTCAATCGCGAACCGCTGAGATGAAGATACCACTTGCCACTCAATTCGGAGCCTTGGTTAAATTCGGAGCCTTGGTTTACACCACTAGGGGTGTTTCACTGAAGCCCAAATCCTTTCGTACATGGCCGACGTTCAGGGACCACTGAAAACAATTTCTTTTGCATCATAAAACATCACCATCGATAATCTCACGAACGATGAATGGATGCTATCCGTGTAGAACTTTGTTAAAAACATCATTAGCTAACAAATCATACAGACACACAAATCATCACAAATAGATGGCTTTGTCCTTAAATTTATGGTATATCCTCCCAAAATTATGGCATATCCCATCATATCCCTCATGTTCATGTCCAAACATATACCAACTTTTGGGCATATCCACCATTTTCAGACCAACCCCAGAGGTGTTTCAACCCATCGAGCATCCGTCGCCCTTGTGCTTGGCTGGCGAAGGTCGACTCGCGGCTAAATGCTCCAGTGGAAGAGTCCAAGTGGCTTGTGGCCGCGCCTCCAACAGTGACATTATGTGATATTAGATATTGATTGTATTAATATATATATATATATGCATACTACATGTATATATATATGATTATATATATATATATAGATATGATACCTGTATATCATTGTATATCTACTCCATGATGTATGCCAAAACATCAACAAGAATCAAAGCAGTTCCAGTTCCAGAGTTGCAAATTGTGGATGACACAGCGGATTTCAGATATTTCAGCGGCTTTCAGCGTAGACTTATGTAAATATATACTGTTAAACATACACTTGAAAATTAAAAAGTCTACACAGACCAAAACATTTATTGAACCCATGAAGTTTTCCGAAATCGCCGATACCAGAGCTGCTGAAAGCAGCAAAGAAGTGAGATAACCATAGATAAACACCAATCTTGATATAAGGATCATACCTAAACCTGCTGTTAAAGCTATTGATCCCCCAGGCTTAGGCCTCTGCATACGGCAGCCATTGCTCACCTAGGAACTTCCAAGTCCCTTGCTCCGACATCCAAACCTGTCTAGCGAACAGCACAGCGAAATCGCAGTTTGATGAAGATCCTCAAAGCTTTGATTGGTGGTCCAACCAAATTATCCATGAAAATGGATTGCTGACGTACTTCGATTCTATCAGTTACAATCACTTGCAAATAAAATACATGAGTTCAACATAATTCAACCATCTTAAGAGTCTTACGCGGATACAGCATGAAAGGGGGGAATACCTCAAACAAAGACCATGAACCCCAACCGAACTCCTTACGCCTCCAGCAGAAGCATTGGACGTCTTGGATTGCAGGTTCTGGAGATGGCATCTACCTGCGAATTCATAGCGGACTCACCAAATTCCATGAGTCACTTGGAGAATGACTTGTATCATGAACAGCTGAAACACGCTGACAGAATCATTGGGATATATATATATATATTGGGATATATATATATGGATATATATATATACACATATATATATATCCTAATATATATTGGGATATATTTGGGATATATATTGGGATATATTTGACATTTAGCGGACATATATAAGACACACCCCACCCCCCTTGGAGTCTTGGACCTTTACATCGCCCGTGTCGTGTTGCCTCGTCTTTCCTGGCCCGGAGCCACTGGGCAAATTCGCTGCTGTCAACGCGGGGCTCCGCCGCTTCCTGGCAGGAGACTTAAGCAATATCCTGTTGGTGGTTTCGACCGGAAAATATTAGTCAGTTGGGATCATGACAAGGTTCCAAACAACCTGACAAGATATCATGATGTGAAATATTTTAAGGGATACCATTTTCAAAATAGGGAAATAACTACGGAAATAAATAGGGAATTAAACAAGGAAATAAATAGGAACATAAATAGGGAAATGACTAAGGAAATAAATAGGGAAATAAATAGGGAAATAAATAGGGAAATAAAAAGGGAAATAAATAGGGAAATAAATAGGAACATAAATAGGGAAATAAATAGGGAAATAAATAGGGAAATAAAAAGGGAAATAAATAGGGAAAATACATAGGGAAATAAAAAGGGAAATAAATAGGGAAATTATTAGGAAAATAAATAGGGAAATAAATAGGGAAATACATAGGGAAAATAAATAGGGAAATAAATAGGGAAATAAGTAGGGAAATAAATAGGGAAATAAATAGGGAAATAAATAGGGAAATGCATAGGGAAATAAATAAGGAAATACATAGGGAAATAAATAGGGTAATAAATAAGGAAATAAATAGGGAAATAAATAGGGACATAAATAGGGAAATAAATAGGAACATAAATAGGGAAATAAATAGGGAAATAAATAGGGAAATAAATAAGGACATAAATAGGGAAATAAATAGGGAAATAAAAAGGGGAATAAATAGGGACATAAATAGGGAAAATAAATAGGGAAATAAAAAGGGAAAATAAATAGGGAAATAAAAAGGGAAATACAAATAGGGAAATAAATCGGGAATTAAATAGGGAAATAAATAGGGAAATAAATAGGGAAATAAATAGGGAAATAAATAGGGGAATAAATAAGGAAATAAATAGGGAAAATAAATAGGGAAATAAAAAGGGAAAATAAATAGGGAAATAAAAAGGGAAATAAATAGGGAAATAAATGGGGAAAATAAATAGGGAACTAAATAGGGAAATAAATAGGGGAAATAAATAGGAAAATAAATAGGGAAATAAATAGGGAAATAAATACGGAAATAAATAGGGAACATAAATAGGGAAATAAATAGGGAAATAACTAGGGAAATAAATAGGGAAATAAATAGGGAAATAAATAGGGAAATAAATAGGGGAATAAATAAGGAAATAAATAGGGAAATACATAGGGAAATAAAAAGGGAAATAAATAGGGAAATAAATAGGGAAAATAAATAGGGAACTAAATAGGGAAATAAATAGGGGAAATAAATAGGAAAATAAATAGGGAAATAAATAGGGAAATAAATACGGAAATAAATATGGAAATAAATAGGGAAATAAATAGGGAAATAAATAGGGAAATAAATAGGGAAAATAAATAGGGAAATAAATAGGGAAATAAATAGGAAAATAAATAGGGAAATAAATAGGGAAATACATAGGGAAAATAAAACGGGAAATAAATAGGGAAATAAGTAGGGAAATAAATAGGGAAAATAAATAGGGAAATAAAAAGGGAAATAAATAGAGAAATAAATAGGGAAATAAATAGGGAAATAAATAGGGAAATAAATAGGGAAATAAAAAGGGGAATAAATAGGGACATAAATAGGGAAAATAAATAGGGAAATAAAAAGGGAAAATAAATAGGGAAATAAAAAGGGAAATACAAATAGGGAAATAAATCGGGAATTAAATAGGGAAATAAATAGGGAAATAAATAGGGAAATAAATAGGGAAATAAATAGGGGAATAAATAAGGAAATAAATAGGGAAAATAAATAGGGAAATAAAAAGGGAAAATAAATAGGGAAATAAAAAGGGAAATAAATAGGGAAATAAATGGGGAAAATAAATAGGGAACTAAATAGGGAAATAAATAGGGGAAATAAATAGGAAAATAAATAGGGAAATAAATAGGGAAATAAATACGGAAATAAATAGGGAACATAAATAGGGAAATAAATAGGGAAATAACTAGGGAAATAAATAGGGAAATAAATAGGGAAATAAATAAAAATAGGGAAATAAATAGGGAAATACATAGGGAAAATAAAACGGGAAATAAATAGGGAAAAAAATAGGGAAATAAATAGGGAAATAAATAGGGAAATAAAAAGGGAATAAATAGGGACATAAATAGGGAAAATAAATAGGGAACTAAATAGGGAAATAAATAGGGGAAATAAATAGGAAAATAAATAGGGAAATAAATAGGGAAATAAATACGGAAATAAATAGGGAACATAAATAGGGAAATAAATAGGGAAATAACTAAGGAAATAAATAGGGAAATAAATAGGGAAATAAATAGGGAAATAAATAAGGAAAATAAATAGGGAAATAACTAGGGAAATAAATAAGGAAAATAAATAGGGAAATAAATAGGAAAATAACTAGGGAAATGCATAGGGAAATAAATAGGGAAATAAATAGGGAACATAAATAGGGAAAAAAAATAGGGAAATAAATAGGGAAATAAAAAGGGACATAAATGGGAAATAAATAGGGAAATAAATAGGGAAATACATAGGGAAATAAATAGGGAAATAAATGGGAAATAAATAGGGAAAATAAATAGGGAAATAGAAAAATAAATAGGGAAAATAAATAGGGAAAATAAATAGGGAAATAAATAGGGCAAATAAAAAAGGAAATAAATAGGGAAGATAAAAAGGAAGTAAATAGGGAAATAAATAGGGAAATAAATAGGGAAAATAAATAGGGAAATAAATAGGGAAAATAAATAGGGAAATAAATAGGGAAATAAATAGGGAAATGCATAGGGAAATAAATAAGGAAATACATAGGGAAATAAATAGGGTAATAAATAAGGAAATAAATAGGGAACATAAATAGGGAAATAAATAGGGAAATAAATAGGGAAAATAAATACGAGAATAAATAGGGAAATAACTAGGGAAATAAATAGGGAAATAAATTAGGGAATAAATAGGAAAAATAAATACGGAAATAAATAGGGAAATACATAGGGAAATGCATAGGGAAATAAATAAGGAAATACATAGGGACATAAATAGGGAAATAAATAGGGAATTAAATAGGGAAATAAATAGGGAAAATACATAGGGAAATAAATAGCGAAATAAATAGGGAAATAAATAGGAAAATAAATAGGGAACATAAATAGGGAAATAAATAGGGAAAATAAATAGGGAAAATAAATAGGGAAATAAATAGGGAAATAACTAGGGAAGATAAAATGGGAAATACATAGGGAAAATAAAACGGGAAATAAATAGGGAAATAAGAAGGGAAATAAATAGGGGAATAAATAGGGAAATAAATAGGGAAAATAAATAGGGAAAAATAGGGAATAGGGAAAATAAATAGGGAAATAAATAGGGAAATACATAGGGAAAATAAAACGGGAAATACATAGGGAAATAAGTAGGGAAATAAATAGGGAAAATAAATAGGGAAATAAAAAGGGAAATAAATAGGGAAATAAATAGGGAAATAACTAGGGAAATAAATAGGGAACTAAATAGGGAAATAAATAGGGAAATAAATAGGGAAAAAAAATAGGGAAATAAATAGGGAAATAAAAAGGGAAATAAAAAGGGAAATAAATAGGGAAATAAATAGGGAAAATAAATAGGGAAATAAATAGAGAAATAAATAGGGAACTAAATAGGGAAATAAATAGGGAAAATAAATAGGGAAATAAATAGGGACAATAAATAGGGACATAAATAGGGGAATAAATAAGCAAATAAATCCGGAATTAAATAGGGAAAATAAATAGGGAAATAAATAGGGAGGGAAATAAATAGGGAAAATAAATAGGGAAATAAAAAGGGAAATAAATAGGGACATAAATAGGGAAAATAAATAGGTAAATAAATAGGGAAATAAATAGGGAAATAAATAGGGAAATAAATAAGGAAAATAAATAGGGAAATAACTAGGGAAATAAATAAGGAAAATAAATAGGGAAATAAATAGGAAAATAACTAGGGAAATGCATAGGGAAATAAATAGGGAAATAAATAGGGAACATAAATAGGGAAATAAATAGGGAAATAAATAGGGAAATAAATAAGGAAATAAATAGGGAAATAAATAGGGAAATAAATAGGGAACATACATAGGGAAATAAATAGGGGAATAAATAAGGAAATAAATAGGGAAAATAAATAGGGAAAATAAATAGGGAAATAAATAGGGAAATAAATAGGGAAAATAAATAGGAGAATAAATAGGGAAACAACTAGGGAAATAAATAGGGAAATAAATTAGGGAATAAATAGGGAAAATAAATAGGGAAATAAATAGGGAAATAAATAGGGAAATAAATAGGGAAATATATAGGGACATAAATAGGGAAAATAAATAGGGAACATAAATAGGGAAATAAATAGGGAAATAAATAGGGAAATAAATAGGGAATAAATAGGGAAAATAAATAGGGAAATAAATAGGGAAATAAACGGAAATAAATAGGGAAATAAATAGGGAAATAAATAGGGAAATAACTAGGGAAATAAATAAGGAAATAAATAGGGAAAATAAATAGGGAAATAAATAGGGAAATAAAAAGGGAAATAAATAGGGAAATAAATAAATAAATAGGGAATTAAATAGGGAAATAAATAGGGAAAATACATAGGGAAATAAATAGGAAAATAAATAAATAGGGAAATAAATAGGGAAATAAATAGGAAATAAATAGGGAACATAAATAGGGAAATAAATAGGGAAATAACTAGGGAAATAAATAGGGAAAATAAATAGGGAAATAAATAGGGAAATAAATAGGGAAAATAAATAGGGAAAATAAATAGGGAAATAAATAGGGAAATAGGGAAATAAATAGGGAAAATAAATAGGGAAATAAATCGGGAATAAATAGGGAAATAAATAGGGAAAATAAATAGGGAAATAAATAGGGAAATAAATAGGGAAATAAATAGGGAAAATAAATAGGGAAATAAATAGGGAAATAAATAGGGAAATAAATAGGGAAAATAAATAGGGAAATAAATAAATAGGGAAATAAATAGGGAAATAAATAGGGAAATAAATAGGGAATAAATAGGGAAATAAATAGGGAAATAAATAGGGAAATAAATAGGGAAAAAAAATAGGGAAATAAATAGGGAAATAAAAAGGGAAATAAAAAGGGAAATAAATAGGGAAATAAATAGGGAAAATAAATAGGGAAATAAATAGGGAGAATAAATAGGGAACTAAATAGGGAAATAAATAGGGAAAATAAATAGGGAAATAAATAGGGACAATAAATAGGGACATAAATAGGGGAATAAATAAGCAAATAAATCCGGAATTAAATAGGGAAAATAAATAGGGAAATAAATAGGGAAATAAATAGGGACAATAAATAGGGAAAATAAATAGGGAAATAAAAAGGGAAATAAATAGGGACATAAATAGGGAAAATAAATAGGGAAATAAATAGGGAAATAAAAAGGGGAATAAATAGGGACATAAATAGGGAAAATAAATAGGGAAATAAAAAGGGAAATAAATAGGGAAATAAATAGGGACATACATAGGGAAATAAATAGGGAAAATAAATAGGGAAATAAATAGGGAAATAAATAGGGGAATAAATAAGGAAATAAATAGGGAAAATAAATAGGGAAATAAAAAGGGAAAATACATAGGGAAATAAAAAGGGAAATAAATAGGGAAATAAATAGGGAAATAACTAGGGAAATAAATAGGGAAATACATAGGGAAATAAATAGGGGAATAAATAAGGAAATAAATAGGGAAAATAAATAGGGAAATAAAAAGGGAAAATAAATAGGGAAATAAAAAGGGAAATAAATAGGGAAAATAAATAGGGAAATAAATCGGGAATTAAATAGGGAAATAAATAGGGAAATAAATAGGGAATAAATAGGGAAATAAATAGGGAAATAAATAGGGAAATAAAAATAAATAGGGAAATAAATAGGGAAATAAATAGGGAAATAAATAGGGAAATAAATAGGGAAATAAATAGGGAAATAACTAGGGAAATAAATAAGGAAATAAATAGGGAAAATAAATGGGGAAATAAATAGGGAAATAAAAAGGGAAATAAATAGGGAAATAAATAGGGAAATACATAGGGAAATACATAGGAAAAATAAATAGGGCAATAAATAGGGAAATAAATAGGGAAAATAAATAGGGAAATAAATAGGGAGAATAAATAGGGAACTAAATAGGGAAAATAAATAGGGAACTAAATAGGGAAATAACAAGGGAAATAAATAGGGAAATAAATAGGGGAATAAATAAGGAAATAAATAGGGAACATAAATAGGGAAATAAATAGGGAAATGAAGAGGGGAAAAAATAAGGAAATAAATAGGGAAATAAATAGAGAATAAATAGGAAAATAAATAGGGAAATAAATAGGGAAATAAATAGGGAAATACATAGGGAAATAAATAGGGAAATAAATGGGGAAATAAATAGGGAAATAAATAGGGAAACCAATTGGGAAAATAAATAGGGAAAATAAATAGGGAAATAAATAGGGAAAATAAATAGGGAACTAAATAGGGAAAATAAATAGGGAAATAGGGAAATAAATAGGGACAATAACTAGGGAACTAAATAGGGAAATAAATAGGGAACTACATAGGGAACTAAATAGGGAAATAAATAGGGAACATAAATAGGGAACATAAATAGGGAACTAAATAGGGAAATCAATAGGGAAATAAATAGGGAAAATAAATAGGGAAATAAACAGGGAAATAAATAGGGAACATAAATAGGGAAATAAATAGGGACAATAAATAGGGACATAAATAGGGGAATAAATAAGCAAATAAATCGGGAATTAAATAGGGAAAATGAATAGGGAAATAAATAGGGAAATAAATAGGGACAATAAATAGGGAAAATAAATAGGGAAAAAAATAGGGAAAAGAAATAGGGCAATAAATAGGGAAATAAATAGGGAAATAAATAGGGAAATAAATAGGGAAATAAATAGGGACATAAATAGGGAAATAAATAGGGAAATAAATAGGGACATAAATAGGGAAATAAATAGGGAAATAAATAGGGAAATAAATAGGGAAATAAAAAGGGAAATAAATAGGGAAATAAATAGGGAAATAAATAGGGAAAATAAATAGGGAAATAAATAGGGAAATAAATAGGGAAATAAAAAGGGAAAATAAATAGGGAACTAAATAGGGAAATAAATAGGGAACTACATAGGGAACTAAATAGGGAAATAAATAGGGAAAATAAATAGGGAACATAAATAGGGAACTAAATAGGGAAATCAATAGGGAAATAAATAGGGAAATAAATAGGGAAATAAATAGGGAAATAAATAAGGAAATAAATAGGGAAAATAAATAGGGAAATAAATAGGGAAATAAATAGGGAAATTAAAAGGGAACTAAATAGGGAAATAAATAGGGAAATAAATAGGGAAAATAAATAGGGAAATACATAGGGAAAATAAATAGGGAAATAAAAAGGGAAATAAAAAGGGGAAATAAATAGGGAAATAAATAGGGAAATAAATAGGGAAATAAATAGGGAAAATAAATAGGGAAATAAATAGGGAAATAAACAGGGAAATACATAGGGAAATAAATAGGGAAAAAAATAGGGAAAAGAAATAGGGCAATAAATAGGGAAATAAATAGGGAAATAAATAGGGAAATAAATAGGGAAATAAATAGGGACATAAATAGGGAAATAAATAGGGAAATAAATAGGGACATAAATAGGGAAATAAATAGGGAAATGAAGAGGGAAAAACATAGGGAAACAAATAGGGAAAATAAATAGGGAAAATAAATAGGAAAATAAATAGGGAAATAAATAGGGAAATAAATAGGGAAATACATAGGGACATAAATAGGGAAATAAATAGGGAAATAAATAGGGAAAAACATAGGGAAACAAATAGGGAAAATAAATAGGGAAATAAACAGGGAAATACATAGGGAAATAAATAGGGAAAAAAATAGGGAAAAGAAATAGGGCAATAAATAGGGAAATAAATAGGGAAATAAATAGGGAAATAAATAGGGAAATAAATAGGGAAATAAATAGGGACATAAATAGGGAAATAAATAGGGAAATAAATAGGGACATAAATAGGGAAATAAATAGGGAAATGAAGAGGGAAATAAGTAGGGAAATAAATAGGAAAATACATAGGGAAATAAATAGGGAAATAAATAGGGAAATAAAAAGGGAAAATAAATAGGGAAATAAATAGGGAAATAACTAGGGATATAAATAGGGAAATAAAGAGGGGAATAAATAAGGAAATAAATAGGGAAAATAAATAGGGAAATAAATAGGGAAATAAATAGGGAAATAAATAGGGACAATAAATAGGGAAATAAATAAGGAAATAAATAGGGAAAATATAAATCCATATTCATCATGAGATGGTAGCGGCTCTGGTCGTGGTACCTCTGTTTCTGCCAGCAGTTCTTCACCACGCAGCACCGCTTCGTTCACTTTGATCAGTTCTTGTTCCTCGGACGCTTCTTGTGCCTTGGATCGCAAGGGGATCATCGAGCGCATCGAGCGGATGCTCCAGCAAAATCCACCAAAAACACTATCATTTACATGTGAAACTAGATCGGAATAGAAAGAAATGATATGAATTCTAGCTACAAATAGGTCAGTTATGTCAGTTATGTAGTGGTTGAAGATGGTGAAATATGGATAATATGGTTAAATATGGGTATGGGTCAATACCTATAGATACATTTTTAGTGGGTTATTCACATCCATAAATCCCAGCTATTTTGGGGTTCACCAGAATTACCAGGGTTTTGACCCATCCCCATATCATCAAAGATCTCGGCACCTGAAATTCCTCCACCTGGAGTTCCAGATGGCTTTCCTGCAACTTCAACTCGCTCACTTGGCGTTCCGCTGCCGCCAGCTCCTTGAAATGGGAGTGGAAAGATCTGGAATACCCTCTGGTAAACATTCACATAGCTATTGAACATAGCATAGAAATAGTGGATTTTCCCATTAACAATGGTTAATTTTCATAGTTCTGTTAGTTTACCAGAGGGTACAATCTGACGCAATGGTGTCTTACAGTGAGTCTTCCAGGGTCGTTCATGCTCACGATATGTCACGATGCTCAAAGAGTGGAGGACGCGTCCTGTTGTAGATACGATTTCTTGCTGCCTTTCCAACCTCAATTCACTTGCAAAGCCACATCCACTGGGCACCTGCAAGGTCTGACACGATCCCAAACCACACTAAGGGAGGAAACCTGCCATGCCCAAATGTCAATGAAGAGCCAGGGCGGAATTTCTCCCTGAATGGCGACAAGTCGTGGCCACAGCATAGCTACATGGCAATCACGAAAAAACAATGGCCGGCTTTAGGCTGTCAAAATACGTTGGACAACTATTCCACTATTCCATCTTGTTCCGTGCATGAGCGTCTCGGAAGCCGCGGTTGATCAGGTCTTCCAACTAGCGAAAGTGCTCTTCAAACAAATTTGAAAGCTTTTTCAAGAAAGCTGGAAGTGTTATTTCCTGTTGTTTTGATCTATCTATGATCAGTTGCGCTTTTGCCTTGTTTGCGAAAAGGGCTCAATACAGCAGCAAGCACAACATCTCTCCAAAAACAAACGCGTAATCTCTGGTCCTGCCATACTCTTTCACCAATGCAATCTGCAAAACGATGCAAAACGCATTTTTGAGTTCGTTGGCACAGTGGGCATTTGTCCACATCAGGCAGAAGTAAGGCAAAAGCCAACAACAAACTGAAGACATCTGAAGACACTGACACAATCATAGAACAACAGTGGAATGAGCAGTTCTGCCTGCCGCCTAGCCGCCTATGTACAAATCGAGCTTCTCGACATCGATTCCCATTTTTGATTCGCTAGGGCGCATTCACAGATCGATTTTCCGTCTCGGTCAAAGCCTCAAGTTTGGTTAAAAAGTGCACAGCACACATGCTGTTAACCTCCATCCTGCACACCACGCAGCTAAGAGGATGACGGTTGATGGATCATCTTCTTCAGTAGATGGACTTCCTTCCTTCAGGTGGTTCAGCAACAGGTACATGTCCGTTCCTAAGATGCCAAGCTGATGCGACTTATTGAGCCCAAGGAAAATCGAGATTCACTGAGTACAAAACGAAGGATTTCCCAAGCCCCGCACCATGTCCCGGTAAAGCCTGTCGCAGTCCATTTCTGATTTACTGCAGGATGAATCGGGCTGTGAACATAAAATTAGCCGCAGTTGCACCCAACAAAATCCGCCTGCATAAAGACATCTCCTCCAAAATATTGCGCATGGAGCCTCACCGTTGACATCGTTGACATCATTAGTACTACCGTGGAACATCACCGACTTCACCTGGCAAAGCGCACCTGGTGAGCGGCAAACCAAAGCCATAGCCGGCCAGTTCCTTACGCCAGGTACCCCCTGAATAGGGATCATCCTCCTGAAGGCTCAACGGATCATGATTCCACAGCTCAAGGTCAACCTATGCTGTCCTCCTATGTCCTCCTCATGATCAGCTGTGGTCCAGCCATACTGCCAGGCCTCAAACTTCTGCTGCAGGTGATGTTTTTTTTACAACTGCAGCCACACGGTGACACCTCCTCTTGGATCCGTTTGGGCATTCCACCCCCCTGGCGCGTCAGAATTCTCCACATTTTATCCAACTGTCACCATCCGTCAACGCCAGTCATCTCCCACCTGGTCACTGATCTTGATGATCACGTGAACATCCCCCTTTTGCACTTCCACAGCCTCACATTTTTGCTGAGCCTTCACCAGCTTTTTCACAACACGACTGCTTTTTTTGATCCAAACAACTTGGCCGCCCAGCAATTTTTTTGGGGCACATGATCTTTTTGCCCAACAGCCAAGGGTCAACAATGGTCAACAATGGTCAACAAAAAACATCAACAGATATCAACAGACACAGATTCCAGTCATATCCATCTTAGCCATGGACCACCTTTGGAATCCTCTCCGACCTCGAAGCAAAGCCAATGCCCGGACCATCGCGTGGCCTCCGCTGATGTGGTGCTGATTCCTTTCCCCGTTGTGGTGCTGCAACTATGCTTGAACCATGTAACAAACCGGTTCACCGGCGTTTCCACCGCAAAGAAAGTACAGAATGGATCAGAATGTATATAAATAGATATGGATATATTCATTTATATCATATGGATATTTCATAGTTCCATTCAAGTGACATGGGAATAAATGGATATAAATGGGACATATAGGTGACATATTCATACTCATCTTCATCCACGAAGGATCTGAAAACATTTTTGGCCATTAAACCCGCCCGAGCCACTTGTGCCGTTCAGTCGTCGCGCGCACGGCGTTCTTGAGGAGCTCCTTTCTGGGGGAGCCAAGAATAAAGCAAGAAGAAACCTGTCTGCATTTCCGGTTGTTTTTTAACTACTATATAGGTATGGTTTTGATAGGATGGATAGGATGGATAGGATGGATAGGATGGATAGGATGGATACGTGAGTATATGTGAGTATATGTTAGTATATGTTAGTATATTAATATGATTTATTATGTTAGTATGATCCTGCTTCCACTCGTTTCCAAACACGAACTGTCAGAGTCGTCCTGGCCCATGAACTGCACATGTCGGGGGATGTAATCCAACGTGCACGTCAAGTTCCCACGAAACCTGCAAACCGTGGTTGTTTCATCTATGGAACATCACCATTTTGAATATGTAAATCATCTATATCATCTATATCATCTATAATATCTGTATGTATGTATATATATATACATACATGTCTATCATCTAAATCAGTTATATATCATCTATATTTTTTCGCCATTTTCCAGAGCATGGCTTGGTCGTTGAGTTCCTGACTCGATGTCTGGAGCTACGCCATAGATGGCCTCAAAAAGCTTGATTCTTCGAAAAGAGATCCGTTAAAAAATGGCAGTGATGAACCATAGGAATCATCGGAATAATCATAGGAATCATAGGAACCATTGGAACCATAGTTTCAACCATAGTTTCATTGATTTTCTGGTTGTTTCACCTACCCCTCTGAAAAATCATGGTTTGTGAAAGTCAGTTGGAATGATGATCCCAATATGATGGGAAAGTCATTGAAAATTCCATGGTTCCAGTCACCACCAACCATAGTTTTCATTGATCAAAGAAACCAGTGGGACCAGGCTGGACCAGGCCTCTGTGAGTCTGGTGATCTCATTGCTCAACTCCTTGGGTGCTAAGATGTCCATGAAATGTCCATATCAGACATTGATCCCCCCAACAGAATGAACTCAACACATATATTCTAGCATAATATATGAAATTATATAAATATCTTCGTGTTTTGGATATTTCGGCTGGATTTGCTACTTATCAACTCCTTTTGTTTGAGACAAAATGGTTTTGTTTACTCAATGATTCATCTGATTCTGGCTGTCATCTCCTTCACTGCCCGGGAATCTGTGTCCTGGAAAACTTGAAGAGGCGACAGTTCCTTTTGAACGACGCCTGCTGCGGTGCCGCAGCTTTTTTTGTGGAGAAACCATGGGAAAAACCATGGGAAAAGACCAAGTCGTGGACACAGCCACGGCGGAAAATTCTGATGCGAGCCTATAAAACCTTCTGCAGGAGTGCGCATGCGAATATAATTCTCCATGAGGATTCTGGCCGAAATCCGGGCAATGAACAGACCTCGGCTTCCCCATTGCTCCCCAAATGGACAGAAAACCATCCTGATAGACGGTGACAATTCACGAGAATTCACCATTTCCATGTGATATGTGGGGATCCTGCTGCGGTGTACTTCCCAATGTGCTAGAGCCACTTATCTGAAATGAACACTCTCTTTAAGAAATCAATAATCATAATCAGTCAATAATCAGTCAAAATATGTCAAAATCATCTTTCAACAAACTTTGAAATCAATTTCTTTCTAAGTTCCATCTCCCAAGTGGTGCGTTTTTTTCTTCGCTTCCTATTTGAAATCATCCAGTGGGAGAATGCGACCGTCAAAGCAAGGGACGATCTAAAAAACTGTCCAAGCGAAGGTGAGGATACATGTGCCGCACCTGGCGGAAGCGGATCAAAATGGATCAAACCAGAACTGGCTCGGCACAGCGGCAGAGTCACGGCTTATCACTTTTTTTTCCATAGAATTCCTACTATGGAAAACTTTAGAAAAGAAACTTGGGCACTAAAAATGAGGAACCATCGATGAGGCCAAAGACATGGGGCTTTCCCAATCAAGAACCCAGTCGATGAGGGTCGCCTCGCGATAGCCTTCAGCAATCAATCTGGCCTTTGCGCAAATGACATTTCCACTGCAATATGGCCAGGCCTCAATAATTCTGTTTGGATCTTTGGATCATTTCCACTGCTGATCGCCAATGGTAATCAATTTTCTACATTTAGCAATATTTATCATGATTTATCTACTTTGGACATGTGGTGACATGTGTTTGGATAAAAAATATGGCCAATACAGCCAACACTTCGAAATTCTTTCCATGCTAAGGTCATCACTACTTGCTGATGCTTTTCCAGTTGTTGTCGGATCAGGTCCGCGAAGGCCGCCTAAGTTTGGCCATCGGCCGGCATTTTTGGAACTTCTCCAGACTCGAAGTGAGAGGATTTGAGAGGCCGACTAAGCACTTAAGTCACTTGGGTATGGCTCAAAAGCTCAAAATCCATGGCACAGGTCTCAGATGGTCTCAGATGGTCTCAGTATTGGAAGCAACATGATGTAACATTTAGGGCACCATGGGGCACTCCATGGCTTGACCATTGCCCATTCAGATCATAGTCAGTTTTTTTTTGTTTCGCTTGGTTTCGCACCTCATCTCTGTCCGTGATGATGTTGGGGAAGTCGGAAACGGTCTCAAAGGTGTCGACATAAATGTCAAAGACCTGCCGGCGACGGCGACTGCCAGTCCCAGTGGGCCCTCAACCTCGGGGTGGGCCCTCGGGTGACTCCAGCCTGCTTGATGTTTTGGTTGTGCACAACTAAGTACCTGAGTTGCACAACGGAACTCTACTGATGAACTCGCTAAAAAACCCAAAAGTCACCAAACTTGGTTTATTTTCAACGGCACTACCGGTATGGTGTTTCACCTCCTTCCCAATCGCATTACTCCCATCTGCGAGTATCATCGAGTATCTGCATATGTAGGTATACGGTATACCCTGATCATCAGCAACCATCCAAATCATCCTCTGAGTATGAGTCTGAGTGCGATCACTTCTTATTTCATCACCATCAATTTGGGATATTCTCTTCATCGCTCATATGGCTACGGTTCAAACTTGGATTCCTACGGTCGACGGTAAACCCAGCAATAAACCATCCCCCAAATCACCATAAATGGGGGCTATAAACCATCCCCAGTCATGGTAGCGGCATTGGCTTCCCACATTAGGATCATTAGCTACTAAACGTGAACCACAATATCAATCAATATCATACATCTACTTCAGGCCGGGGGTGGATGACGAAAGCTAGCGGGGTAGGAGAAAGAAGGAAGGGAAGAGGTGAGTTGCGGAGGGACTGTCATCATCGTGTCGCGGCATTGTTCGTCCCAACGAGGATGCAACAATGATATATTGATATATGATATATAACAATGATATATATGGGGGAGGGGGCAGGGGGGGGCCCTTTCGCGGGAAAAATCACGTGATGTCCTTGGGGAGCCCCGGAATACGTGCTAAAGCAAGAAGACTCTAGCGAGCTGACGCTAGCTTTCGTGATAATGACAATAATTGCCAATAATGATAAAATGTAATTGAATAACGATGATGATGATGATGATGATGATGATGATGATGAATGATGAATGATGAATGATGAATGATGAATGATGAATGATGAATGATGAATGATGAATGATGAATGATGATGATGAATGATGAATGATGAATGATGAATGATGAATGATGAATGATGATGATGATGATGACGAGGACGCGGACGAGGACGAGGACGATGGAGAGGACGATGACGATGATGATGACGATGATGATGACGATGATGATAGATAGATAGATAGATAGATAGATAGATAGATAGATAGATAGATAATGATGATGATGACGAGGATGCTGATGATGATGATGATGATGATGACGATGATGATGACGATGACGATGACGATGACGATGACGAGGACGACGATGATGATGATGATGATGATGATGACGAGGACGCGGACGAGGACGATGGAGAGGACGATGACGATGATGATGACGATGATGATGACGATGATGATGACGATGATGATGACGATGATGATGATGATGATGATGGATGGTGGTGATGGTGGTGGTGGTGGTGGGGGAGGGGGGGGGCCCTTTCGCGTGAAAAATCACGTGATGTCCTTGAGCAGCCCCCCCAATACTTGCTAAAGCAAGAAGACTCCAGCTAGCTGACGCTAGCTTTCGTGAAAAATCATCAAAGATCATCAAAAATCATCAACAAATCCCCGAAAAAATCATCCGAGATCCGCGATTCACAGGGTTTCAACATGTTTCAAATTTCAACCCATAGCCCATAGCCCATAGCCCATAGCCGACCCCCAGCATTCACCGGCAGACCCCCGGCCCCGGACAGGGCACGGCAACTGTAGAAACTCGTCCAAGCGCCGGGCGAAACGAATGGGAAGTTGGTTTCGGAGCCATTGACCCTGGATACCAAGTTCCCATGTCTCGACATCGATGGATTCTTGGAAGATCGGAAACACAGAAATCATTTTGGAAAATCATAGGAAGGAACATAGGAAGAAACATTCTCTGTGTTTTTTTCTAGGAACAAGTTGTGGATCAAATTGGGCTTTCCTATGGCTTTCCTATGATTTCCTGTGTACCGGAAACCGGTTTTCCCATCATCTCCTGTCGGATCAGCGAGTTCGAATCGGAGCGAGTGCTCCTGACAGCTACCCCTTTGGGATCATCAGATTGTTGGGGCCATTTTACGGTTTTTGTTTCAATGATTTTCAATGGCTAAAAGAATGTAAAACAGTCAACATCCCCTAACCGGGCTAACCTAGCGGCTAACATTGGCTAGCCACGACTCCCTGATTCAAACCCTGACCAAAATCATTGAAGATCCGACCCCCCAAAAACATTGGTAAGTCGCAAGTGCTGTCCTCATAAGCTGCCCAAGGGTCAGTGTATGTGACTGCTGCTTGGCCAACATCTGGATATGCCGAAAACTCCTGCGGTCCACAGAACTTCCGACACAAAAGGGCCGAAGGACAGTCACATGACAAGGCCTTGGTAACCCCGACATGGCGCCAAGGGCCCGCTGCTTTTGTTTCACTGGAAGGTTTGAGCGTCGCAAAAAAACAAACTGTGAAAATGGATGAAAATGGACTAGAAAACACAGATAAACACAGCATCCAGAAAAATTCTTCGATGTTTTTCCCATTTTTTCCCTCTTTTCTCATTGGCAAAGTCTCGGCAATCCCCCTATCAATCATCAATGTCTCGGCATCGCTGCTTTGAGCTGCCGGTGAGCCTCAATGGCCAGTGGCAACCAAGTTTTTCTCAGGGAAGTCATGGGATTTCACGATGTTTTTTTGGAAAAATTTGGAAACCAAACACCAAACATCCGGTGTTTTCATTGTTTGGGTGACCCAAATATTCCTAATTGATCCTAATTGATGCTATTTGGAAACTCTGGACACCAAACTCATGCAACACAGAGCGAGGCGTCTCACTTTACCAGCAACTTTTTGGCATCTGGTCACTCTGCGATCCAACCAGCTTTCGTGTCGGAGAGCGATGGCCAAGTGTTGCTACTGCTGACTGTGGTGTGGTGTTTGTAGCAGAAATGGCTGGCTCTGAATGGGACACTTTCGATGCTGCTTCCAGCATTTTCTCATTTTTTCCATGCGTACAAGGACATCTTCGGTTTCATTCTGTTTCATTTTGCTGGAAAAGGTATGGGCCTAAAGCAACTGCTGTTCACAGCTAAGCAAAGGCCTGGCAGGAAACAAAGTTCACGAGCAAGCAATCTATTCACTTTTGGCATTCAGATTGCGCAAACTGAGTCAAACAAAGTAGTGAAATACACTAGTCAATAGTCAATCCAAAGGTATCCTTTGATCTGCCTCTCCTTTCAATCCTACGGATACAATCTCGGGGGGACTTACATCATTCATCACCTATTCTGGCTCACCCAGAAGTGGTGGTCATACACACCACATTTGGTGGCTTAGTGCATGTGAAACCCCAACAAAGTGCAGTTCTTAGATGGCTTTTTCCATGTGAATGGGGTAGACCCAAATCTGCTGCCATTGAATAGTGTGGAACATATATGGCACAATGAGGTTTTCTCCACTATCAACAAACCCATGGGGTTTTCCAACATTTTCCCAGTTTCGCCTTCTCTAGGAAACTGCAGAAGCGACTTGCGTAGAACGGAGGAGGGCAACACGAGACCCCACGCCAATCGTGGCGTAGCGCCTTGAACCAGTGGTACCATGATGTGCCATGCTCCAGTGGTTCTGGACAACCATTGACAGCAGAGCCTTGAACCGATGTTCCAGCTTCTTCATTTCATCGTATGGTGTCAGAATGTCGATGATGCCCATGAAGTAAATCGTCCTGAGACAGGATCACTATATAAATTCCCAATAAATCACACCATGTCAGGCAGATTTTTCTAGTATTTTTCCAGCAATATCTTCCAAATCTGTCAGTCACCACTAGTGGATCCCTCCACTTCCGTCCTCCGATCTTCGGACAACAAACCAGGGGTCTGCTCGTGCTTGCCTGCCTCACCATGTCGTGCATGTCGTGCATGTCGTGCATGTCGCAGAATCACCACTGTTCGACGTCAAGCAACAAGCATCCCTGCCTTGAGAGTCGGGTCTATGCCTTAGTATGTCCCAAATGTCCCAAATGTTCCAATTTTATCTAATTTCCATGGCAAACAGCTTGAAATTCTTTGAAAGCATCGGTTGCATATGTTGAGTCATCGCGAAGCATCCGGTGCTGAGGACTTTCATGAGTTTTGGTACTGAAAGTTGATGAAAGTTGTACACTTTGAACACACCATATCAGCAAGTCATGCTATCTCTGAGTGTCCAGTTGCAAAATGGCTGCAGCTTTTGTACCGGTTGGTCTTTGGTTGGCAACTGGGCAACTGCAGCTGGTGGCACGTTACCATGGCATATCATGATGAATTTGAAACGATGGCGTGTCATCTCATACCATCTTCTGGTGGTAAACGCTGCCGCTGCCTCGTCAATGAATCACTGGCAGATCTGAGAGATCATATGAACTTCCAAAATTGAAGACGCAAACGTGGCAAAAGGATGCAAAAGGATGCAAAAGGATGCAAAAGGATGCAAAAGGATGCAAAAGGGACATGCTACTTTCATCTACTTTCAAGGCTTTTCATGTGTGTTTTGCAGGTTTTTGTGATTTTTGTGCTACTTCTTGTGTTCATATCGCTCTTTGGAACAGCATTTACACACCGCTAATGCCAAGAAACTTTTGCCAACGAACTTCAACAGAGTTGCGGCGCTTCCCAAAGCCAGAAGCATAGGGAGGTGCCAAAAACTCCTCTTCTGCTCCCCCCAAACTATCTGAATGTGAAACTGGTGGAAACTGATAGAAAGACCATACAAAAATGAACACCAACTCTATTTTGCATGGTTAAAGTCATAAAACATATGTTTTCTAACACCATGCAACAACTCTGATGAGGATTTTACACCGCTCCAGCAAGTAATTTAGCATCATTTAGCATCATTTAGCCTCATTTCACCAGGAAAACTCCAGGATTTTTGCTCGCCGCCCTTAGAGCGAATCCCCCTTTGGGAATCCCATCTCCTGGCAGAGTTGCTCTTCAGATTGCCTCTGGGATCGATGAGCTCCTCATCCTCCGACCACATGCTGAAGTCGCTCACATCGCCCCGAGTGTCTGACATCCTGAGCTGCGATGGCGATGCAGCAACAAAAAAAACATTCTCCAGCTGGGAACTGGGAAGATATATATATATATACACACACATATATATATATATGGGAAGATAGTGAAAAGCTCAAATCATACATCATCATACACCATCATCTCATTGAGTTATCAATGGCTTCACCAGCAACTTCGCAGCTTCGATCTACCATTCCAGGTCATTCATGATACCACAGTCATTATACAACAGCCAAGCATCTTTAAAAACTCTGAATATCTGCTGTAACTTACCTCGGCAATCATAAATCATCATAACTCATCATAATTCATCATAATTCATCATAAATCATCATAAATCATCATAACTCATCATAAATCATCATAACTCATCATAAATCATCATAAATCATCATAACTCATCATAACGCATCATAAATCATCATGACTCATCATAAATCATCATAACTCATCATAAATCATCATAACTCATCATAAATCATCATAAATCATCATAAATCAACAAACATCATAATAACTCATCATACATCATCATAACTCATCATAACTCATCATAATTCATCATAAATCATCAAAAATCATAATAATTCATCATAAATCATAATAACTCATCATAAATCATCATAACTCATCATAACTCATCATAAATCATAATAACTCATCATAAATCATCATAACTCATCATAACTCATCATAAATCATCATAAACCATCATAAATCATCATAACTCATCATAAATCATAATAACTCATCATAAATCATCATAACTCATCATAAATCATCATAAATCTTCACAAATCATCATAAATCATCATAAATCATAGATCATAGATAAACATCTGATATCATCCGATCTATTCTGGCATTGGGGTCCCCCCGAAATCTCTGACTGATCCCACCATGATCCGCACATCCCCAGCCCAGCGTCTCACTGACTTCGCGCATCTCTTTGTACTCTGCGAAGGCAGCACGCTCGTGGCGTTCCTGGACATCACTTCTTATGAAAAACGCCTGGAAAATTCATGGCAAAACATGAAAAAACCATCAAACATAGGGATTTCATGGGATTTATTGGAGAATATTGGAGATGTCATGGGCAAACAATGGGATTCAACCATTGTTTCAGGGATGACCTCCACGAATGATCAAACTTCAGCCAGGGCACTGCTTGGAACTGCGTCAAGCTCTGACGCTTCGTTGTTCCCGAAACATGGGGAAATGGACCTCCGGTGCTGTGGAAAATCTGGGGCCATCCGTGAAACACCGGGTGTTTAACATACACACAGCACTGAGTGCGTCACAATGGCGAGGAAATGCGTAGTGCATCCATTGCCTGAATGCTTTCCAGCTTTCCATTCATAGCTTTTTCAGATCCAGTTCTGTCAATGCATTGGTTTAGGGGAAAATCTACAGGAAACCATGGATTTTCCCATTAAATACAGGAATGGGAAAATGGATCGGTGGTCCGACAGGTCCAAAGATATGTCCAAATTCACAGCCGGGCGGCGCGAACAAGCGTCCGTGCAGAGGCACCTGCAATACTGGACCATGCTGGACCCAGCTCAGCTGCAAACCACACACAATATTACAATCTCAAACAATGATCCATTCCTTGATCATCCGTGCTAATTATCATGATGGTCATCATTGTACTTAGTTACACATAATTATTATGTTAATTATAATCATTATATATTCATTGATGATAATGATCATCTTTGTGTCATAAAATTCATGATAGTTACTTACAACATCAATTGGAATTCCAGGATCCTAAAATGGAGGTACCGTACCATATAAGGCCATATTTTGTGGGGATATTCCCTGAAATTTAGGCCTCAAAAATAGGCTAAACATATAAAAAAATATGGAATCGGTACCTCCGTCCTCAATCGGATCCTGTTGCATGGCCATTGACAACATCTTACAACAACACAGAATGAATCCCGGTGGGTTCCAGCATGGTCCCACCATGTCCCACCTCTCCGTCATGATGATCTGCCACCTCATGGAGCCTACAGAGAGCCAGACATCCAAATAGTTATGGTGTTGGCTATCCCATGATATCATGGGTATAACCAATGGGACTATCATGGGCATAACCAAGGGGATATATCATGGGCATATAATGGGTATATAATATCATGATAACTATAATGGGTATATAATGATAACTATATGATATTAATGGGTATATAATGGGCATGTCTATCTCATAATGTGTTATAAGAGTTATGATAATATGATATGCCCATGATATACTCATGAATAAATCCCGATTGTTGATGGTTAAATCATGTCAAATCCCCATTTCCAGGAGAATACGCAGCTGGTCTTCTGGTTCTCTCAGCTGCTGTCTTTCGAATGCACGGCATCCTTTGTCCATTCCTTCCCCTTCCTGATCCGCACCTGGCTGAGAGTTCTCCTTCAGCAGCAAAGCTACCTGGGAAAATCATCTTTCACCCGATTTCAGCCTTGTCTGCTCTGATTTTTTTAAGCACGCAAAAAGATAGAAGCGTCATTTGTAATTATTTACAATCATTTATAGATATCTATAGTCATTTACTCACCCAAAAAGATAGAAGAGTCATTTAGAGTCATTTATAGTCATTGACTATCTATTAGCAGATTTAACTATTATTGTCTGCAAATCATTTACTCGCATTCACTATCAGCAGGGATCACTTTTCTATCCTTTTTTGGCGCAAAAGAGCTCAGCTTGGCGCGGTTGGTGAGGCCCAAGGGCAAAGCTGATACCTCACAGCTGCTGCTCCCTGGGTCATCAGAAAAACCGTCCAAAAAAACACTGGAATCATCAGCAAAAAACCATGGAATCATCATCCATAATTTACCCTTTCACAGATTTTCTTTGTTTCAGCACATGTTCATAGCCACTGTTCAAAAAAACATCGTTCCCATCCCATCTTTCCCAGCTTTCCCAGCGTCCAAGTGGCCGCATCCAACAGGCTCTCGGGTGATGCACTTGGCGCTGCCACGGAGGCTTCAAGCTGATCCATCAGCTCCTGGAGATTTAAGCCATGGCCATGGCCCATCAGAGACTTCTACCATTTATGACCGATGGGACCGATGGTAGATGGTGATTTTCCAGAAAAAACTGTGAGTTTTTCGGAGGCTACGAATTTCAATGGATTGGCAGGGAATCATGATGAATCATGTAAGAAGAAACCCCTAAACCCCTCTAATGGGTGGTAAACACATGTAAAAACCATGGTTTCTGGTTAAATTTTTCCCTTACAATAAGGGACTTGAGGTTCTCGAGTTCTCGGCTGATCATTTCCGGGAACAAGCGTGGCATTCCTAGCCATGGAGGTTTGCATTTCGGGATAGGAATGCCAAACATAAGAGTTGACTTCACCAGCAAAGTTAGCAGATGACCACAGTCTAACTTCTCGCTATTTCAACGAAAAAAACGGGAATCGGATCTGATAAATTGAACCAAACATCGCCATTACCATTCCAAGCCTTCCAATATGACAGGGAACCTGGGAACCTTTGGGAACCTTCCAAAGGCTGACCAAGTCGCGCTGGCCGGCCCCAACCTTTGATGCTTGGATTATGCTTGGATTATTCCATTGTTTCTACTGAAACGGATTCATGTTTCAACACATCACGTTGATGCTTTGAAAGAAGACTGAACTTGGAATTGTCCCAAGTTGGGATGATCAGTGATCCATCATCCATTTACAATAGCTATTGAACACCCATCTTAACATAGAGGATTATGGATAGAAATACAGTTTACCTAACAACTGATAGTGATTTACAGTTTAAGATTTACCATATTTACCTATCAGAAATTCCCGTGGATTTTCCGTGGATTTTTCGTGTTTTTCTCTGAGTTTCCCGATCCCAAACCGTTGGATCCGTTCCTCGCAGGGATCCGCGCAGCACACGGAGAAGTACTCCGAAGACGCCAAACAGTTGGAGTCAGCCTGGGCGCCACTGGGTCTCCGAAAAAATTGGGAGAACATGGAATGATTTTCAATGATTTACAACGGATGATCATCATTTTCCCATAAAAAATAATGCCCATCACTTGGGGCTGTGTCACAGGGCTTCCGGTTTTTGATCCAGTAGGATCTAGTAGGGTCATAGGGTCATAGACTAAGGTCATGACCATCATGTAGTTGGGAACAATCACACGAATCGACCTCAGCTCTGCCGAGGCCACTCCGCCCTGTGCGCTAAGCGCTAAGCGCTGGATGGTGTCCTGTTCCTCTAAGGCTCCAACTGGGGATCGGATTCATCAATGGCACCTGTTTTTAGGGCAACATCCGATTTGTGGCCGACTCATAGCTCCCAAGCTGCTGTCATTAACGTAAATTAACATTAAACAATAACTAATACAGTAATACATGCCAACCTTCTGTATCTTCTGTAGTATATTAGGTTATATTGCTACATATTGCTACTGTATTACATTACTCATAACAATATGGGGGTTTCCATAAATGGAGGTGATGAGGTACCCCAATAGCTGGATAGTTTATCATGGTTTATCGTGGAAAAGCCTATTCAATTGGGTGAGAACTGGGGGTAGCCCTATTTTAGGAAACCTCCATGTTACTCGAAATTGACCTCATGACAATATATTATTGCTCTATAGTTACATACCACAATTACTATATTGCTACTATATTACCATCTGGTTATTTCACATAGCCATGGTATAGATGGCCCATAGAAATAGATGGTTTACCTATTAAAAATGGGTGGATTTTCTATGGCTATGTAACAAATAACCAGAGGGTAGTATTTTTCGATGACATACATGACAATATGATTAGTATGTTAGTACATCAGTATATTGCTATATTGCTACTATACTAGGTAGCAATGATACCATACTATGTTATACCATCTGGTTATTTGTTACAGAGCCATGGAAAATCCACCCATTTTTAAGACCGGTAAACCATCTATTTCGATTAGGGCCATGGCTTCCATGGCTATGTGAAATAACCAGAGGGTATCATCCATGACATCATCATATAGATGTGTCTGAAAATAGTGTACCCCTAAACCCAATGGTTTTGCTGATCATTATCCCTATTAAATGGCTATTTCATTGGGAATATACCCAACATTTTCAGACAAACCCATATCCAAAAGCATCGTGCCTTGCTGTCGGAGGAAGTCCAAGCTTTCTGTGAACTCTAAGGTGCCCTGCGAGGAAGTGATGGCCATTGCTCCGATCATCAAATGGTAAACGTTTTACATAACTATTGAACATCAACAAATGGTAATAGCTAGGATTACTTATGATACTTCTGCGAAAAAACTTCCATTGTTATGGGCCATGTTCATCCATTTTATGATATTTCATTCCATTTTCCATAGCCATATGTTAGTTTATCAGAGGGTACAACTCAAAACCTTCTCACATTTGCTACGCAACGAGCAGCCTGGTGCAGAGCTGGACGATAGAAGTCGCTCAACAGAACGCGGCCGGATCCTGGACGTTCCTGGTGCCGATGTCGTGTTCCGCCATGATTCCAGGTGCGGAAACATGAAAAAACAACTTTTTTCATGATGACCAGCCACCCAAGAATCAAAGAATCCAAGAATCCAGAAATCCAAACACATACATCACATACATCACATACATCACATACATCACATACATCACAACAGCCCAACAATAACCGCAACGTTCCAACATGTTCCAACGCAGCCTCCATGGCCAGCAATTGGTTCTTCAGAACTTGGCATTCACCTTCCTCCAGCTGAGCAAATCGATCCGTGGTCTGCAGCAGGATGTTGGACCTCAGGCATTTTCAACGGGGGTTTCCCATGGAGTTTCCCATGGATTTTCCCATGGATTTTCCCATGGATTTTAACCATGGAAAAACATGGAAAAACCATGGAAAACCCAAGGAAAATCATGGAAAACTGCAGTAGCTAAGCGGGGGCCCTATGGGGATTGGATGCCAAAGACGAAGTACAGCTAGAAGTCCCCAATGCCACACAGCGTGGCAAATGCAACAGCACACCGAAGCAGCTATGGCACGTTTTTCCTAGCACGAGCCAGGGCTCAAGGCCTGCGGTGATCAGGCAATTAAACATGATGTGACATGAATGGCTGACCGATGTACCAATTGCATCGATCCAAAATTTTCTCAGCCATTCACGCATCAGAAAAGGTCTCCAATTCGTCCATGAAGGTCCATGGAACCAAGGATTGGAGTTGGCGCATCTGGGTCACTGCGCCTTGTCCAAGTCGTTTTGACTTCCTCTCAGACTGGATGAAATTGGGATCGTAGGAAAGCTTCCACATCCAGTTTCGAAGAAACTGCATCAATCCAGCGCGAGCGGTCTTGTCCTTCTTGGTCAGGGCATCGGAAAGGTTCCAATCGCCAGACAGCCAAATCAAAGTTGTCTTGGCAATCTCGATCTGCTCACGCAGCTGAAAGGCCTGAAGGGCACTGCGAATGTTTGAGAGGCCAAGTAAGGGGCTCTCGTTCTTCATGATTGCATCGAAGCCACCGCGGGAATCTGTTCCAAGAATCCCACGTACGTAGGTCACCATGTCATTCGCTTCGTCCAGCAACTCTTCCTTGAGGATGCAGCCATTGAGCTGGCACCAAAGGAATCTCGTTCTGAAGTTTGCATCTTCGCCTTCCACCATGGATTGAATTTCACCATCATTTGTTGAAATCGCTTTCCTTTTCAATCTCCAAGATCTCCAAGACAGGATGTTGAGACGTCCTGCTTCTCCTTGCGCATGCTGGGGGCCACCGATGAAGGTGATGTAGCCACCAGTCGATCCACCTTGAGGACGATTGGCATGAGCTTGATCTGCCAATGTCACAACCACAGCATCTTGCCAATGCTGAATCTCTGGAATTCTCCACATCTTCAAAGTGACAGGCTCAGAGCGGATCTCCTTGATGAGGGACTGAATCTCCTTGGCCACCATGATGTTGCGATTGACCGTCAACTCTGTAAGCAGCAAGTTAACACGGGCACAAGCTTGCAGTTGGGTCTGTGTCGCAACCCATTGTAAGGCTCCAAGTGAAGCTCTGCAAACTGCAACTTCACCATCAGTCATGATAGCCTTAGGATCTCCTCGAAGACGTTCAGGTGAAATGGTGAGGTCCTGAAGGGTCTCCATGTAGAAGTCCTGAGAAAGTTGAGCCCATCTTTCGCTTCCTTTCTCCATGATCTCCAGGTCGACGCCAGTGTGGCGAAAGCTCTGTTGCTTCTGGCTTCCCCACTTGTAGGCTTGAAGGATTTGTTTTCGAATTTCCATCCATCGATGATCTTGAAGGTCTCCTGAAAGAGTGAAGTCATCGACGTGTCCACCAACATAGCCAAGTAGGATGTTCTGATCCCACTTGTTCATAGGTTTTGGATTCGGCACAGTCCACACCCAAAATGATGCGTCGCCCACAATTCGGTGAGCGCCCAACTTCTTGAAAGTCGCATCAACATCTTGCCAAAGTCCACGAGGTGCAGTACTGTTGCCGTAGATATTCTTTACCAAGCGCAGCAGCTCGGCGTCGGAAGCTCCAAGTGCCTGCTTCAATTCTGGCACGCCACTGGTGTAGAGCTTCTCCTCCTCCATTTGTTGAGCACCGGTCTGCAAGAAGGCAGTACTCATGTCCAAAGATTCCAGTACCCAGTTTCTTTGAGAAGTCACAAAGAGAGCCAAGTTGCGCATCAATTGGCTTTGAACTGGGGCTGAGCTTCTGAAGGTTGTTGAGGCCAAGTCCGGATGCTGAAATCCAAGCACCACTATGCGGGCTTTAGCCTTCTGAGTACCATCAGCGTTCACTGTGGTGTTGTCCGGATCCGCAGCACGTAAGTCCAAGGCTTTGGATCGGTCTTCACCAGGAATCGCTTTCCAAACCAAAACCCAACGTGCTTTGAGCACTCTGCCAGAGTTCTGAGCTTGAAGGTTTTCTTCATGAGAAAGGCAACGGCGAACTGCGGCTGTCTTCAAAAAGGAAGATACCTCTGCAGCTTTGGCGTTCGTGAACAACTTCTTGTCCTCCTCAGAAAGACGTCGGTACACGACTTCAGCATTGTTCAGCTTCTTCGCCAAAAAGGCCACAGGGTTGTTCAAAAACATCTTGCGTTGCCGATTGGAAGACAAATCCAAGTCCAAACTCATGAAGTAGCCTTCTCCTGATTCCAGAATTGCACTGTTAAAGTCCAAAAGTGCATCAGCCTCGCCCTCATCGTCGAGCTTGGCCTTCTTCTGGTCAGGCTCTGGCACTGGTGTATCATCCACCACCTCAGCAGCAGGTTGTGGAGGTCCATGTTCTCCTCCGTCAGGTTCTTCAGCAATTGGTGGGGCTGAAGCAAGTGATGTTCTCCTTGAGGTAGGTTTCGAACCTGCGTCTCGATCGCTGGGAATCTCCTCCACGGAACACGGTGGTGATGGTGATGGGACGACGTCGGAGTCATACTCATTGACCTTGTCATTCGGGATCTCAAAGGGAACTTCAGGAGGAAGTGCAGGAAGTGCTCGTTGAAGACGTTGGCTGAGAGGATCTCCATAGTTCGACATAGTGTCTTTCCTCCAGAATCTCATTTTCGGCTTCATGGTAAGAGGTCCAGGAACTGGAGGAAGGTAAGGTTCTTCGATCTCACCATCTTCAGGTTGTTCAGGTTCGATGTCGACATAGTTCCTCCGTGGGATCATGTCTGTGAGCTCCTTCCATCGATGTGATTCATCTCCATGAGCTTCATGTAGTTCTTGTTCTCGGGCTGACAAAGGTCGCACACTGTGAACTGAAGCTCGATAGAGGATGTTCCCAAGGATGACCCAGACAATCTGCTTGCGATCAGATTCTGTCTGACCGGGCACCAATTCATGAAAGACCACTCTTCCCGGTCCAACCCATCGGGGTTTGGCTGTGTGTTTTCTACCTCCTTTTCTCCCCTTGTATATGGTGTGAGGGAGAAACTTCCGCCAGACCATGACAGGCTGAGCCATGTGAAAAGTTCGCACAGGCTGCTTGATGGAGGTGTTCTTCAACTTGGAAAACAGCAAGGTCGCTCGAGCTTTTCGAGCATGTTGTTCTGCAGCTTCTCGTTGAGAAAGTAGTCGCAGATATTGATCCTGCTGTCGCTCCACAGGAAGGGAAATCTGTTGTCGAAGCTCCTCCTCGGTCAGTGTTGTTTGCTGACCAAATGCCCATTGCAAACTGGTGTAGCCACGGTGGAACTCAGTACTGTTCAAAGCTGAAGTTGCCAAGGCCACCACTTGAGCAGGAGGAAGGTCAGGTGAAGAGCTGTAGATCCTGTTGGCAGCTTCCTTGAGATGCTGCACCGTCCTCTCCACAACTCCATGTGCCCAACTTTCATTGTCAGGAGGTGGCATCACAGTGATACCAACGTCCGCGCAGAATTCCATCACTTTCTGGGAGAGGAAGGTGTTGGCATTGTCAGGGATCAAGATCTTCGGCTTGGGCTTGTCCATGATCCATCGAGTCAGAAGGACTCGAAGCACATCATCCGCTGTTTCCACGTAGGTCTTGCTGTAGGGATAGGTCGCCAAGGTCTCAGTCACGCGATAGTGAGTGGCCATGTCCATCATCACCATGAACTTCACCTTGAGGTCAATTCCAGGGACCTCCCACTCGGTGATGTCGATTCCAAGATGTTCCCAGGGCTGAGGCAAAGGACGTATGGACATAGGAGCCACCTGTCGCGATGACTTTCCACCAGGTTTGTGTTCTTCGCAAACTGGACATCGATATTGAAATGCCTCCTTGATCTTCCACTTCTCCACTTGTGCATCTTGAAGCATTCTCGCCAAATTGCGAGCAATCGGATGACCAGCTGCTCGATGAAATCGGGCTATTTGGGCTCGCCAAGCTTGAAGATCTGCGGAAGAAACGCCTGCATAGTCAGGGTCTTGTTGATGGTCTCCAGGTTGTAGCTCCTCAGGATCTTGAAGAGCTCGATCTTGTGATACTCCCGAAACAGGCAGTAGATCTCCTTCAGAATGATGAACTTCTCCAGCAGGTAGGATGGCCTCATTCTCAATCTCGTTGTGGGTGAAGAGAAGTGAAGGAAAAGGATCCAAGCCCTGCACAGGGGCAGTCCAGAGCATCTTCGTCCATCGAGATGGCAAGAGCATCGATCTCCAAAATCGCGCAATGCTCCGGCACATCTGTTCGGGGTAGTAGGCAGATTTGGATGTAGCAGTTCCTTCCAGCCATTCATGCTGGTGATTGCCAAGACAGCTTTTGAGTCGAAATTGGTTGTAGAACTCCTGATCCGTGGTGATCACTTTCCATGACTTCTTGACAAAGTTGCCACTTTCTCCTTTCATTCCAAATCTACAACCATCAATCCTACAAGTCCAAATCTCTTTCAGTTGAGCAGTGACCTCCTCGATGAACTCGATAACCAGCTTCTCCTTCCATCCTCTGCATCGCCAAGGCCATTCCCAATAGATGTCAGAACCTTTGGAGATGACATACTTCATGAAATCCCGCATGCGCCGCAGCATGCGTCGTTCTTTTCGAAGATATTTCTGCAGAACTTCAGGGCGATGACTGTAGTTGAGGTCAACCCAGTCACAGAAGTAGGTGCAGCGTGGGCTGAACCAGAGCTTTTCAGGTCGATGACGATCATACAGTCCATAGAGCTTGTCCCAAGTCTCGTCCTTGTAGAGGTCGAATCCACTAGCCAAGTTGATTCTCATAGTTTCCAACCCATTCTCCAAGCATGAAGTGGTCAGTTGAGACTGAGGACCACAGAAAAGCTCCCAGACCAAAGGCTTCTTTCCATAGACCGTCTCCGCCATGATCTCGTTGAACTCATTGTTGACAAGGTGCAAGGTGTTCACCATCGATTGACCAACTCGAAGAGGTAGAGGATGCTGGTTCTCGAAGTCCATGTTGATCTCCGCAGCAGTCATGTAGTGGCTGCTCATTGCTGACATGGAGGATTGATCTCCGTGTCCGACACTGGAATGGATTCCCGGCGCTGTCGAAGACGATTGGTCAGCTCTTGCTTCTCGTCCTCCGTCATCAGATCGAACATCTCGTTCAGCTCGGGAGAGTGTGGAGGTGTCACCTGGGCCCATGAAGTGGTTGCACTCCTTGGAGTCTGTGGCACAGCAACTTGGTAACCGGCCATGACGGAAGGAGCGGCACCACTCTTTGCCGATGTCATTCCCGGTTTCACCTTCTCCACCTTCTTCTGCAGTTTGGCCAATTGTTCCTTGTAGTCCAGCATGAGAGTCTTCAGACGCTCCTCTGCGGCCACCTTGTCGTAGCATGCTTTCACCAGGGTCTCGTTGGGAACCATGTCGCTTGGAAGCATCTCCTGTAGATCTTGAAGAGCTTTGCGAACCATGAAGGGGTTGCAAGTCTCCACATTGGTTGCTGGGCTCCCTTGTTTTGGAACGTATTCCAGCCTCAAACCGCACTTTTCGCACTGAGTCCACGCAGCCCATTTGTTGGACTTGCTCTTGCCTGGGGTGTGCACTCCCAGGCATGGCCATTGAGCTCGATCCATCCTGGGATCTCGTGGATCGGCTGGAAGGGTCCTCTCGGGATCCAGTGGGCGCAGAGTCTTGGAAGGCGACGCAAGACTTTTGGCCGCCATGGGACGTCGGGGGCGAAGTTGACGAACGAAGGGCAGTTGAAATTGAGCCACCCATCTTTCGGTTGAGCATCAACCTTCGTTCCCACAATCTGCAAAACCACTGGGAAGGAGTAGAAGTAGAGGAAGTTTGAAGTTCATAAGAGCTGTCAAGTTCTCCGGATTCCATCAGAAGAGGACAAAGTTCAGGAGAATCAAAAGGAGTGCAACTGCTCAACATCAACTCTGCCGCAAACTGTTCCGACCCGCTGGATTCATGCAAGATGACGTGGATATTGGGTTGACCTTGAACACATTGTTGTCCCTTGGTGAGAAAGTCCACAATGTCAACCATCAGATGTTTCTTGGAGTTGCGTGGTAATTGAAAGGGTTCCCCGTCATCATGGTTTGCACAAACAGCAGTTCCATCGTTGAAGTCAATGATCATGCCATGAGTATCTATGAAGTCCATGCCGATGAGTACAGGTACCAACATACTTTCACTAAACCATGGTTCATGACTTTCAGCAGGATCAGGCAAAGCAAAAGCTTGAAAACGACGTCCTGACAAACTAGATTCCATAGTCAGCCGATACAATGCTCTACCCCAAGTCCCACTCCCATATCGGAATCTGGGGCAGCTTTTTCCGTCCAAAGTGATCTTGGCTGACTTGTCCTGCTGAAGCAGCGCATTGACCATGTTCTTGATGGAACTCTCGGGGCCGGCAGAGCAAGTTGCACCAGTGTCCAGCATCCCCAAGGCCGGAGATGTCTTGTTCTTGTTGGCAGTGGTCACAGAACGTTGACCCAAGGAAGGATCTGGTTCACGAGCCGCAGCATGTAGATCAAGATGATCGTCGGGGAAGTCCAGGACATAGTACCCATAGCTGTAGTCGTCATACTCCATGGCATAGGCGTTGACGTTGTTCTTGCCTTTGTTCTTGGACTTGCCCTTGCTCTTGCCACCACCAAATTTGCCCTTCACATAGTAGAGGTCATCCACATAGTAGGCGTTCTTGCCGCCCTTGCCATCCCTTGCCATAGTTCTTGCCTTTGCCCTTGGTAAAAGCGTACAGGTTCTCCTCGTCGTAGGCACCAACATAGTGAAGACGACCACCTTTGCCTTTTGGGGCAAATTTGTCGGGGCAGTCACGGGCATAGTGACCAGGATGACCACAGATGTGGCATCCATCAGAGGCTGAAGAAGCCTTTCCAGACTTCCCAACGGCTTTACCAAAACCTCTGTCCTTCTTCACCAACTGCGTAGTGCGATGAGCCTGACTCCATGTTGTTTGAGCCATGGCTTCGTTCTCCTTCTTTGGATCATCTCCTTGTCCTTCTGCTTCCTCTGTCTCCTCCTCCATAGTCCAATCTTCATCTTCTTCAGGCCAACCTGCATAGCTAGCCCAATGATCTTGATCGCTCCACCAAGGTGTCTCCCAAGCCCAGTCGCCGTCCTCGAGGGAAAAGAGTTGAGCTCCTCCATGATGTAGTTGATGTCCTCCTCGATGAGATTGAATCTGGTCGTCATAGAGGATGGTCAAGGCCATGCTGATGTTCTGGTAGTCCAGCTTGTTGTTTGTAGATGACAGCACAGCACGCCACTCCTCCGCAGTCAAGCAAGCTCCTGAAAGAAGACGCCAACCACGTAGCTGCTTCAAAATGAAGCTGTCCATAGAGCTCAACGTAGGTGCCAAAGGAGGCCGACTGGCCCTGCTGCCACGACCCACAGATGGAGCTCCTTCAGGAGGTGTAGGTCTGCCTTCAGGTGAACCCACAGGCATTGTTCCCATGGGGGATGGTTCTGAAGTTGGAACCTTCTGGTAACCCTTTGACTTCTTGGTTGATCCATCCTCGTCCTCGTCATCGGACTCAGAAGAGCTATCACTGAAGTCAAAGATGTTCTGCGACAAACCTCCTTCTTGTTCCTCCTTCAAGGCCAAGAGGGACTCGTTGAACTCCTCGAAGTAGAGCGACTCCCGAACGAGGTAGTTGGCAATGGTCTCATTGGGGAAGCGCCTGTAGTTGAAGTACTGGTTCATCACCGCACTGGTGTTAGGCAAGTTCTTTCGCACCAGTGGGATTTCTGCTAATCGAGTTAACAGGGTTTTAACACCAGATTTTCCTCTAAAGTCCACTTGACTCCATGACATTGCCAACAACCTAGCCGGTCCAGTCAATTTTGCAATCAACCTGGGGGCTAAAAAGGGTCGACTTGATTTCTTTGTTCCCATTACATACCACAGCACCTCACGGCTATAGCGCCTCCAGCCACGAGGATTGCCATCCCAAGCTGGCACCGTCTCAGTTGCCCCTTTCGCAAGATCCGCCATGACGTAGGTCTTTGGGCGAAGGATCGCAAGGAAATAGTCAAGCACGTAGCAGTGACTCGTTGAGGTAGATCAAAATGATCTGGTTGAAAAACTCCACAACGTCCAAGGTGTCCAGAATGTCCAAGGCGTTGGAGACAAAGTTCAGGAAAAAGAAGAATGCAAAAGCGTCAGAAGTTGTGAACAAATCCGCAACCCCCAACAGCTGGCCCCTCGGTCAGCTACTTGAAGAAAAGGTCCTCACGGGACAGGTGTTTCAGGCCGAGCTGTCGAGCTCGAAGTCGAAGTTGACCCAGCTGATGGCGTAGTAGTCCTTGAGGAGCTTTGGCCACCAATTGGATCAGGTTCGGGCTCAGGTTCTGGTAGATCAGGCCCTCGTCCACCACCACGTCGACCACCTCGGTCTCTGGGCCGGTCTCGGCTCCGAGATCTGTCCGACCTGTCCACACGAAGTCGAACCTCAGGGGGATCCCAAACCCAGATGCCTTGCGGCAGGTCTGCCGTCCTGACGAAGTCAAAGTCCAGCAAGTAGTGGTGTAGAAGAGCTCGATCGTGCCCCTGGCCTCGCCCGCTCCGCTACCAATGCAGTAGCTAAGCGGGGGCCCTATGGGGATTGGATGCCAAAGACGAAGTACAGCTAGAAGTCCCCAATGCCACACAGCGTGGCAAATGCAACAGCACACCGAAGCAGCTATGGCACGTTTTTCCTAGCACGAGCCAGGGCTCAAGGCCTGCGGTGATCAGGCAATTAAACATGATGTGACATGAATGGCTGACCGATGTACCAATTGCAAAAACCCATAGATTTTCCCATGAAATTCAATGGAAGTGTGTTGGTACATTTTCCCTTAAACCAATCCTTCGAACGATGTGAACAGCATGATATTAGATGATCTGATAGTTATATATTATTTCTTATACAGATTCCATATTATAATCATTATATGATGTTCATTTATGTCATTTACCCTCTGGTAAACTAACGTAACTATGGAACATCACCATTTTTAATGGGTAAATCCACTATAAATGGCCATTTTCAATAGCTATGTTAGTTTACCAGGGGGTATGTTCCTATGGTGGTATAGAGCCTATGCCCGAGCCATGGCACATGGTGCTGAGGTCCAGATCAGCATCGGTCTTGGAACTGAAGTCCTCAACTTCCCCATGAAACCGCTGGGGGAACACAGAAATAACATGACCATGACTATCAATCTTTTTAAACACCATGAAAAACACCACCATACCCCAAAGACTTATATAATAACTTTCAAATATCATTCAATCTCCGAATCCAAATAAGAGCTTCCAAACTCATCCAAACTCACCATTGAAATACATTGAAACATATTAAAACCATGACATCTCCTGGAATTCCATGATTTTCCCCTGTTTTTTTCCTCAAAAAATAGGGGTGTCCTGCAACAGACCTCTGACTTCATCCCAGCGTGGGTAGCTCCTGGCAGGATCTCTGGATGTCCATGGTTTAGGGGAACAATTTTAACCAGAAAACCATGGAAAACCCCCATATTTCATGGTAAATTGATGTAAATTGACCATGGATACCATGGTTTCCGGTGAACATTTTCCCTTAAACCAATCCATTGACCATTTGAAGCCAGCCAGTTTTCAAGCGCACTGAAAAACTGTCCCGATGTTCTTCAGCAGAACTCGAACGTTCTCCTCCTAAGTCGGCAGGCGTCGTTTTACGGGGGACCGTCGACGGCACGGCACGGTTCTGCGGTTCTGCCGGGACACGGAAAGTTCACGGTGCGTTTCCTCTCCGAAGGAGTCTGTGCCAAGGATATAACCTAAGGGAAAACTCTGGGACATCGAATGATCAAATGATGCCAGTCCCCAACTTTTCATAATCTTTTCCATCAAAAAAGATATAAAAAAACACATGTTGATGTAATGATCTGTAAACCAATGATGAATTTAATTTAGTGTTTAGACTTCTTTCAACTGATCACTACTTTTTGATCGATTTTTACAATTTCTCCGGCCCCAAATCAACTTCAGAGCCGTCTTCCAAGCAGCTTGCCATGTACGCCTCCATAACGTTCATCGCATGATTGGCGCTGAGTTTCTGTGCAGAGTAGAAACCCAATGCTTTGAAGCTCACCTTGGACTCAGACGGAGGGAAGCGGCATGTAACGGCCCAACATGTCTGGGGAACAACAATGGACTACATTTACGGAAAACCTTCCCAAAGCCAATGGACTACATTTCTCATGTTCCCCATAAACAATGTCCCTAACTGGGGGGTATCCCCGGTTTTCAAACGCATCTGATGATGCTAAATCTGTGGAAGCACGCCCAGCTTGATATCCTGCGATCATTCAGAAGGAGTCAACAATTTATTCTGCCAGATATTGTCAAACATCCAGCTTCAGGACAATAATCATATGAAATTATATGCATCTGAAGATGATATCCTGAAATCCACTGTCAAACAACATCATCAGGGCATGCATTTTCAGAATTATCATCCCAAGTGATCCCATCACTTTGCAACTCAGTGAACATTCAGGAGCATATCTGCTTCATCGCGCACCAAACGTTCAATGGTCGCAGCGAGCACTGACAACTCCTTGGAGTTGAAGCCCATCGGGCCCGGCCTGTCCCTTCCGGTAACCCTGTGGCGATGTGGCGATGTCGTGTGTGGCTTTCGGGTTCATCAAATTCATCCGAAAACGTGGTCTATGAGCCAGTGTATGCCCAACTGGGAGGATGGGAATCCCCCTTTTCTGAGGCTTTTGATGAAGCCATGCTGATAGGATGACTGGATGACCCATGATGCAGTCAAGGCAACATGCAAATCCAAGCCGAAGTTGTTCAGCCTCTCATCAAAGACATCAAGCCTAGGTGAGCCGGTGTTGCCGGTTCATGTGGTAAAGCCAATGCCATAAAATGCCATAAACCTACCATGACTGGGGATAATTTCCAGAACCCATTTATGGTATTTTACGGTAAACTTTGGGGTGGTTTATACTTGGGACTAGCACACGACAAATAGTGGCTGAGGGCCCGTAGAGCTTCCCCCTTCTTCACTGAGATCCGTACAACTTCTGCGGAGCGTGTTTCAACGCAGCAGTTGGGCTGTGCTCATGCCAAGCCCCATGTGTCGGCTGCAAGTCCTAGGAATCTCAGTCCGAAGCACCAAAAGACCAGAGGTGAAACATTGTGAAACCACACTGTGACCTTACATGGGGCATGTCGATATCCAAAGCCCTACTTTTACGGATTTCTGGACTCTTTTCCCAGCCTTCATTTGCCAGCTGTGCAACTGCAGAAAAAGCCTGGCGCGATTCTCTCCCTTAAGTGATGACAACCTAAAGGTAATGGACATTGATAAGCCTCGCCTGTGTAAAGCGTAGTTGGCAATGGATGCTCCAATGGCACCACGGTCTTGGTTTACGATGTTTATGTGCGGAAGCAACTGGGAGGGAAGAAACACACGGCCTCAAAACCCGACTTTATGAACAAATTCACCAACTTATACCAACTTCAGATCAAATCTGTAGCATTCTGTAGCTATCAACTAGACTTTCTTTGACCATACCTGCTCGAACTAAGGACATCGCTGTTCTTTGGCAATGCCATATAGGTGTGCTTCAGCAACTCTTCCATCTGTGGAGCACGAACAGCAATGGCCTGAGCCAGCAACGAATGATCTATGGGTTTTGCACACAAATCATCAACCAATGAAACTAGAATCATGTACTAAATCATCAACCAATAATAATTACTTTTCTATCAAACTACAATCATGTGCCAACTTTTTTCCTACATGTTACATAATTATTAATAATAAGCATCATGTGGATAGATGTGGATAGTATAATTACAATTTTGTAATCCCCAAACATCCCCAAACTATTCATCAACCAACAGGGGTGTAGAAGGCGAAATGTTTCCACTGCCTCACGCTGCTCGCTCCCCAAAGTGTCCTGCTGGCGATGAGAAGCCTACCACATCCTACCACTGCAATCACCAACGAATCTTTTTTACGTTTCATCAGGGATTTGCTTCAGTTTCTGCACAAAAAAGTATTCTGTCGGAGCAAGCCTCCTGGCAGTCGCTGGCAACGCCAATGGCTTTCACAGCTTTCACAGCAACAATTAGTCATCTTTCGATGAAAACTTCACATTCCGCAGATCACCCTTTTTTTCATGACATGTTCAACATATCATCCTCAATCTCCAAGAGAATGGTGCGGCCAGAATGGCCAGCACGGACGCCTTGGGGTATCGGGGTGCATGGCCAGCATGATCTTTCATGTATCACTTGGCTGAGAAATGGCTTCCATATGGTTCCATGGTATGGTTCCATGGTATGCTTCCATGGTATGGTTCCATCATGTTCCATCATGTTCCATGAGACCTCTATACCCGGCGAAACTTCCGCCAAGCTACGTCGAGCATCCGTGGGCAAGACTAAAAGAAGGAGAAGACGTGCGAACATTACCTGTGCCCAGTCTGTGCCCAGCAAGAATATGGTCCCACACATCCCACACGACACAAATGGTCCCTGGCTGATGCTGATAAGGCCAGGAGTTTATGATGTGCCACAGTGTCTTTGTCGGATCTCCGCTGTGCACGAAGAAACCTTTGGACCTTGAAGCATTTCAAGATATTTCAAGCATTTTGGACCGAGTTGCGGATGATAACTTCAGCGACAGGTGCTGATGTCGGGATATTAGAGCTACAATCAAACGGAACTCGAGCTGTCGAAACAGCTGCGGCTGCGTCTTCAAGGGTAAGATCAGCTGCATCAAATCTGCTCATATCGCAGCAAGCTCAGTCAGATCGGGGACATCTCACAATTCGGACATCTTCAAACGAAGCCGAATGGTCAATTTGAGTATTGAACCACCATCCCAAAATTTCGAAGTCCCAACATTTTTGGACTTCCTGAAACAACTTCATTGCCAGAAACCGAAAAACATCTGGGGGGGCCACCCTGCACTATGACCTCCTGGCGGCGATTTCAAGGAGGAAACCACAAATATCTACAAGTATATAAATATCTATCATAACATATCATAACCATCCGATTCTTTTGTTTGCTTCAAATTTGCTTCATCTGCACAACAGTAAGCAAAGCTTATAAGCAAAGCTTATAGGAAATTCCAACCGAATCTGATTGGCTGATAGGCGTATATATATATATTTCATTATTTTTCTTTCACATCCAAGTTTCTATACATTTCATTAAATTCCATGATCTTCAAAGAACAAACACGGGTGGTATCCCATTTTGCCATGGCCTAAAGTTCGGAAATCACAACTGCAGGTTCCAAGAGTCCTTGGGATCTTTTTCATGGATTCCCAGCAACAAGGAGTAGTCGATGATGTTGTTGTTTGACAGAAATTCACCTCAGTTTCAGGGCAATCAACATGAATCAACTTCTCAACTGCACATGAATCAGAGATAATCAGAGTGTCTCCAATTTTTGGGAACTCTGAGTCAGCCATTGAATCAACAATGGGTCTGTTTAGGAGCTGGCTACCCGGCTACCCCCTGGATCCTGGGGGTTGTTCTGGACACTGCTCCCGAATCTCAGCTGCTGACTGTCGCGTTGTATCTGAGCTAACATCTTCAAGCGGCGCTCCTAAGGACTGAGGCAGCCATGGATTGCCATGGATCGTGGACGTTTTCTGACGTTTTCTGACGTTCTTTTGTCGAAATGCGGAAAAACATTCAGCACTTCAATGGTCATTCTTCATGGGGAAAATGTGAAAACCATACGCCATACGCCACAGATTTTCGGCCATTTTGCCCCATTGCATCCCATTGCTCCTCGCCAAGCTTGATCTTCTCGTCAGCTTTCTGAAAATCCACATCCTGCCGTTGAGATTTAGGTTTCCAATAGGTTTCAAACAATCAACATCTGCTTTTGGTGGTTTCATGTCGAAAAATATGAGGCCCTCCATTTTGGTGCTTTCTACGACCCAAACTCAGCCAATTGAAGGCTTGGCGTCACATGTCTCCGCTTTGATTCTCAACTGCTTAATAAAGTAACCATAAGTAACCCAATAATACCCATTCACTTCTGGTGATCTTGGAGTCTATGGCATTCGATTCACCACATCTGATTCCAAAATGTCAAGATCATCCCTTTCAAACACCTCTGTCAGCAAGATCTGAGCCTTCAAGGCGACGTGTGGATCTCGCTTCTCGGATGCAGTCAATCTGCCAACCTCAACTGCCAGCTATGACTGAAATTGGAGGCATCTTGCTTGTGAAATTCTGCTTTGGACAATTGCCAATTCAACCCCCCCAAAATGTTCATTGTCTACTTTCTCAACTTTACCCCCCAATGAGTTTTCCAAGAGAACAGGCTGGCTGGCCCCATCCACAATGAGTTCCCCGGCCCATGATCCCTTTAGATCATAGCGGCGATGAATTTCAACAGGCGTATTGAACATATTGGCCTCAGGCTTCTAGTTCAGTAAAGATGGGTCCGAAGCTAGCTAAGTATATATATAATATATATATATGTAATATATATATATATTCTATTATAATTTGGGTATACACATGTATACAGCAACTTATTTATCTATATGATCATTATGGACATGTACTACTATATAATAAGATATAATATAATATAATATAATATAATTAATCACATATCTATCTATACAATGACCCCAATGACGGGTCATTTCACCCAAAAACAAGTCGTTGCTTGTATAGCCAATGAAGCCAATGACAATTCGCTGTGATACTGAGGCCTGGGCCATTACAACAAAATAGAGATTCTTTTGCTTCAATGGCCTTCAGCACCGAAACCAGACTGTCATGTCTGTCATGTCTGAAAATTGGTCAATGTGACCTCCAAGATTTTCATGTATGGCAAAACATCATGATGAACCAATGGGTTCGGCAGGGGTACCGGATTTCAAACCAACCCATCTTTTCAACTGGAACATGCTGGACATGGCCATTCCAAGAACGCCTGAAACGAGAGACTCGCTTCTGAACTCGGAGGCAATGGAGGCCCAAAAACCGAACCACCAGTGTCTCGGGATTGTTTTTGATGTGGTCGTAGTACCTCAGTCGAAAAAAAACAAATATCAAATGGCCATGTTGGCCATGGTCAACTCAGATAAAACGCAGCAGTTCACTCAGTTCTCGAAAACTCCAGAGAATTAAGCAGCTGACCCTTTCAGAATTTGCCTCAAAAGTACAAACTCCTTGGGCGTGACCGTCTTCATCATGTACTTTCCATCAGCTGTGTAGTAAAAGAATGCACCTGAGAGATCTGAGAGCTGAAAAACTTGGATCGCAGCATGTCTGATAGGGTCAAGACGTCTTCAAAACCATGGGGCATGGCTATGGCTATGGATGCTATGGGTCATGATGGGTCATGGCACCGTACGCTGCTTCAAACACCAAAACAGCATGGTAGGACCAAGGGGCCGCTCTTTCCTTCGGAGGAGAGCTCGGACAAAGAGGAGAGGTTTCCAAGAACCTGGGTCCAATTTAATGGGTACTACAAAGCTATGGCAAACATAGTCATTGGAAAATTGAATCATCACATCTATCTGCATGACATTTCATTATTCATTGAGATAATTTGAATTCCTGAGATGCTGACCATGTTCCCAAGCATCTGCTCAGGTCCTACCTGAAATCCGTCCAAGGCTCCAAGGACTGGTGGACTTGGATGAAACTTATGTGATCAACTGCAGTCAGCCAACCTGAATCTTCCAACATCTTTGAACCATGCATAAGATGGCACGATGATGATGATGATGATGAAGATGATGATGACGATGATGACGACGACTAACCCCTCTTCATACCTCCAAGGCTGAGAACGAAACGAGATGAACGCTGCTCAACTGAGGACCGGGCAGAACGCAAATATTCCTCCTCGTGGATGCCGAATTGAGTTCTGATCTCTTGAAAGACCATGGGCCTGGGCGCCAACCGGTTGGCAGTCTACGCCAACTGCCTTCGTAGTGACTAACAAAGCTGGGCAAAACAACTGATTCAGTAGTGAAATGAACTTGATTCAAATAGTCATAGTCTAATAGGCAGTCTTACCATGTCTTACCTTTGATCTCTCTCCGGCACCAACATTTCCACTGTGCTGTCATCTGTGTACGTCCCAAAAGTAGAGCCCCATTTTTCATCAACCTCATTCAAACTCCCACCTGTACAATCCAAACAATAGATTTTCTATGACTTTCTTAGAAACAACGCCAATGACCTGTTCATCTCAACCCATGGACCCCTTCAACTCCGATGCTTTTTGATGCTAATTGGCACTTGGTTTCCAGACGCAAAGTCCACGAAACGAGTCGTTTTCCGCTCGTCAGTGTAGGGCATCTTGGATTGGAAATGATTTGGAATTCCGAATGTCTCCGAACAGCCGAATCTTCCACCGTTTGATATCTCTGTCACCAAAACAATGCTGAGATTTGGACCAAACGTGGAGTGATGGTGAACTTTTCCTGCCATCGCACCAAATCTATTTGTCTGTTAGGATACCCCTAAGATCATCTAGTTAGCATTTTTCCATATTTTTCTAGTAAAAACTGCAACTTTTCGGCCCCCATTTTTTGGGCAAATCCAAATCCAGAATCTGAATGGCGCACCTGCATGATGAAATCCACCTGAGCTGTCTGAGCGTGGCATCTGCTGTTGCGAAAAAGATGGGAAAAAAGTGGAGCGCTTCTGATTTCCATTGGAAAAACTACTTCCAGAAGGTCAAAGAAAGCTGAAAAGCACCAAAGAGGACTTCTTGGTCACCTGGTGGTTCAATCAAGCAGAGATTCACCTGGAATCCATCACGGCCCGACCTTTTCTCGTCAGCGTCACGTGAAAATCAAGAGATCGATGTTTCCGCATTAAAAAAAACGCACAGGCTGCAGTGGCAAAAGTGTCCAGCCTGCGAGTCCATCTAGATTTCCCATATTTTCCCCCAAGAAATCTTGAAACAACAGCAGGGTTTCACACTGAGGCCCTGACAGGCTGAAGCTCACGATGCATCTCATGTTTGCAGCGTGCAACGGACCTGGGCATCAGACTGAAACCCACCTTTGCCGTCGCTGCAGCTTCACTCAACCGCTGGGGTGCTGGCATTCGAATTCCAACCATCATGCTGAGAACCTGAAATTTGCGAAAGCAAATCACTTGTACTAAAACCGACCACGGGTCAAACTAAAACCTTCAGCACCGACAAGCAATCAAAATAAATCAAACATAACCAAACAATATGTTTCACTGTTTCACTTTGGCTGGCGATTTCTTCAAGTTTCACATCTGTGAAACAGCGGGTCACATCACCGAGGTTTTCACCATATTCCAGCTCTCATGACCGAAGTGCACCGCCAGGCCCTGTCCGGCTATCAGTCGTCAGCTGGGTCCAACTTCATCAAACATCCAAATCCACCTAAATGGATCTAAATGGCATGTCTGTTGTGTATATGACACCACATAGCTAACAAAAAATGTGATGGTTGGGAGTTGGGGCCAATTATATAGTTTCCTCCTAATACATCGCATCATAGCCGACCCACAACTGCACAAACAACAGGTGCAATGGCCTTTTTAGGTCCCGGCAAGCGAAGCAACCTGACAGACCTCAACAGTTGATGGTTCCACTTCGGTTTGATTGAAACAAACATGGTTTCTGCAGTATTTATCCTATGATATTTCTATATATAGAAAAGTCATGTAGTCACTAAAATCATCCAACATCATCCAAAAGCCCTCTTAACCAATGAATGCACATCGGTGAAATGACTGCAGCAACTGTAGCACTCAATTGATTGCATGAGTTCCGGACTTGTGGCCTTTCCTGTGGCTGGCCTGCAAGGGTTCATTTCAGGCTATGCAGTCCTTTCATGTTACCATCCATGACTCGAAGATGTGTTGGACGGTGCAGCTTTGGCGAAGGCAGCGAAGGCAGTGCATGACATCAACAATGCAAACAGCTTGTTTTCCTTTTGATTCTGATTGCTGTAAGAGCTTTCTACTGGCTCAGGCAACAAAGCGCCTTGAGTTTTGGGAAACACATCCTCCCAAAAATTTGCAATGCAAAGATATGCAAAGGCTTGAATATCTTGAATGTATTCTCTAGGGCGCACATGCCACCTGGGCAATTTGCTGTACTACCATTGAGGCATCGAGGCTCATCCCAAACATGGGCCTGCCAACACCCTTCCTTCGCACAACAAGAAACATCCAACATGTTCTGCGCTTTGCAATCCAAGTCTACATTGGTTAATGGTTGAATTCTTTGTTTTGAATAAATTTTCCTACATTGCCTTGAAGGCTTGCAATGAAAAAACATGTGTGCAGCGCTTGATAGAAAGGTAAAGGTTGCATTTGGGGGCCAAACTGTCCACACATGGACTTGATGATGTCAACATGATGCGAAGGAGGATCAGGAACCATGGCATTCCCATGTGCAAAATTAACTTGCAGCCTCTGCGTCTACCGACTGCTAATAATGAGTTCAGCCAACTTGACTGATTGAGGCGGTCAAATCAAGGATGTCTTTCTACACCCCTCTGGAAGAGAAATTGACCGCGCAAACAAACAAAAACATCCTCAGGAACCACATCTCTCAGGTAGGTGAGCTCACGGTGAGCATGCTGCCAAGATCTGCGAATGTCAAAGCCTTGAACTCCAGGAGCCTTCATAGCTTGGATTTGTTGGATTTGCCACCTAGCACGGCCTCCATGACTTTGCCAGCCGCCCTTGACAAATGCCGAAAAGGATTTCCCAATTTCTCCATTGCCCGGATTTCCTCTATTTCTTTTGCAAGATCTTTCTGCCATTTATCGACACTTGCCCTCAGCTGCTCCTCATTGACAAGGCCCTCTCTGTGCTGCTTTTTGAGCTCCGTCTTGCGGTTTCTGAACTCGTCAAAGCGATCCCACAACTTCTGAATCTTTCGTTTGGGGCAGCGCCCAAGGGACGCAAGCTCTTCGAAGGTACGGTTGATGCTCTCGTCAAGCTCATCTACCATGTTGAGCATCATGTCAGTCTTCATTTTCTCTCCCTGCATTTTCGTCCCAAAGTCAAAGATCAATTTCTGCACTTCATCAGCTTTCTTCCGTTTCACCTCCAAGCCCTCCACATCTGCACGAACATCTTCTGCTCCCAAACCATCCTGTGCCTCTGATGCTGCCTTCAGAATGCCATTGATTTCATCCAAGTTTTCATAGCCTGCAGTCGTAAGTGGCCATTCCAGGCTTGAGTACTTCAGCTGCTTATAGGCCTCTGACTCTGGCAGCTTTTTGAGCTGGGCTTTGGCCACTTTGCTGTCGGCATTGGCTTTGGTCATCACAAAGTGGCAGAAAGAGCCCAGTCTCTCCCCACCCAGGCTGATTTGCATCTGCGGCCACACCTCGCAGAATTTCCCAGGCAAGCGGCTGCCCACATCAACACACATCAGAAAGTTCACAATAATCAGTTGGAACCTTTTGATGGTAGCAGCCACAGCGTTCACAAGCAAGTCTTGCATTTCAGGAACTTTGTTGGCTTCAGCATCTGTGTCACACAGGCCAGCCGTGTCAAGAATCGCAACCTCGGAGCCATTCACCTCAAGAATGTAGATGGTGGGGCACTTCGTGTCAGAGGACAACTTGGCTTCTGTCTGCATGCCTCCAGCAAGGATGTAGATCAACGAAGTCTTGCCTGTGCCTGTAGCACCACCAATCACGTTGACATTCTTGCCCATGATCTCTTCCTCGTAGGGCTCGAAAGTGACCTTCGGTACTCCATGCACTTCGCCACCTTTGAGACGAATGACTTTCACGCGCTGGGCGACCTGTTCTGGAGACAGCAGCTGCCCGGTGCGCTTGTTGTGGAGGTCAAGGAGGTTGCCGTCCACGTCCAAGTGCAGCTCTGGGTGGGACTGCGCCATGACGTCAAGGGATTGACTCAGGAACTGCGTCAGTGATGGGATGCCATGGGATGCCATGGGATGGGATTTCAACTTTCAACTTCACAAGCTGGCTGAAGCCGAGGGATACAAATCAAACGACAAATCAAACAAACATTCATCATGTCACCATCATGTCAGATCTGAGCAAATTTGTGGCAAAATCCACCTGCATGGTCTCCTGCTTGCGCCATAGCGGCTCTGCTCCATCCTCAGCCCATCGAGGAGGGCGACTCATCTCAAAAGTGGGCGACTATTTGTCGGCCCCATAGTCAATGTCACCTCATCCAATGTGCTTTTACAGACCAACTAAAAACATCCCACACATATTCGATCTGGCTCAAAATCACGATGTGGCTCAAAATCAAGGCACCATGGATTTCCACACGAGGCATAGTTGAACGTTCATTTATCCTTTCTTTCCCATGGTCCCAAATGTATTCACCCATTCCCCAATGTATCATATTTAGTTTTGAGGGTTGAATCCACATCTTTGGTTAAAAAACAACATTTCGAACCATCCGCAACCAATCAAAGAATGCTTGGGAGCCCGACGGAGAGCCTCGAACTCATCCTGGAGACAGCCCTGGAGGCTTCGCGAGAGACTTCGCCCTTGGGATTACCAGAAGCGAAGCAGCTGAAAAATCCTGGAAAGCTCTTTCTGTTGCATGGGTAATCTGATTTCTGATAGCTAAAATTGCTAAGATTGCCACTATGATAGTTACTACATGTTACTACACTGTTGATGGAGTGGAGATGAAGAGAAACCAGCTTGAACAACTACCATTGGAAACATACACCATCCATTTGCATCCATTTTTGGGAACCGCTGCGAGTTCTGCTCGGAAGCAGCTGCAGGTTTCAATTCGGCTGAGGGACGTCTTCTCTCTCGAAACCAGGGACAGTCGTATGAAGACTTGCCTCGCAAAAATTGGAAGAAAGTGGTGGAAACCCCCAGCTTCTCCAGTTTAGTTTCTGGCCAAAGGTTGATAGCACAACTTTTCAATCCCAGTTTGAATTCAAGAGTTTGTTTAATAATCAAATCATTTTCAATATGAATTCACAACAAACTCTCCACCTAAACCACCAGTGCCAGCTGATTCCGCTTCTGCCAGCAATCTGGAGGCTGGTCTCTGCGAACCTCTGAAGCGCCGCGAAGACCAGTGGCAGAGCCTCGAGTTTGGAACCAGGAGACCCTGAACTAAAATAGTTGGAGGTCAAGGAAGGTAAACAACTTTAGCTATACTACTATACACATTTTAAACATTTTTAAACCAGGAAATCCTACCGTTTCCCGAAAACCTGTCTCTGGAAAAGCAAACGAATCATGGACCTGCCTTTGCCACGAATCACGTCCCACTCCTCAATGAATTTTGCGAGGTCCTGCATGCTCCAATCATGACTGTTCAGTAGGAACATCCCAGTAATCATCTGATTCGGGTTCCCTACTGAAATATTCAATGGATTGGTTTAAGGGAAAATCTACAGGAAACCATGGTTTTTACCATCAAATATAGGGGTTTCCTGTAAATTTTCCCATCATCCAATTCTATGAAATATGACATGCCTGGAGATTTTTGTTGAACATTCTGAAGGTGAAGTGCTTTTGATCCCAAACTCACCCAGACCACTCGAGATAGTCAACCCCCTGAGACTTGAAAAAAACACTATGCCTTATAGCTCCTGATCATTGTTTATGTCATCTGGTTGGTGGTTTTAACCATCTTGAAAAATATGAGTTCGTCAATGAGAAGGATGACATCCCATATATGAAATGGGAAATAAAAGTCATGTTTGAAACTACCAACCAGATATTTATAACATTTTATAACCCAATTATACCTATAGGCTATAGTCATATAGATTTATATCACATTGATAACAATAATTTCATTTCTGGTGTTTATCATATTTCCGTCTATAAATAATAATCATATGGTTATAACATTGATAACCATACAAAATAACCATAATAATTATAACATAGTTATTATTTTTGGTGTTTATATCACATTTATTGATACAAATTATAACCATATAGATTTATATCACATTGATAACCATAAACATAACCCATGTGATTTCTGGTGTTTCTTCAAGTTCCCCCCGGGTGTTTCACGACTTCAGGTGCTCCTGCCATGCATCTGCCACCGCTGCCGAGACGAGGTTCACGGGTGGGGAGGATGGCCTCAGGCCGGCCGGCCTGAAATGGGGATTTGGGGCCCTGCTTGGTGGTTCATCCCACTTAGTAAACTGATGTACATTGATGTAAATAGAAGTAAATAGATGTAAATAGTAGGTGTAAATAGAAGTAAATAGCTTTTATATAACATCTTATAACTTATAAACCATTTAAACGCCTGATTATAAATGGGCGGCTAGGGTTAGTCCATATGCACATCCTCTTTTGTGGTCTTGGTGTTGAGTTTTTTTTTTGCAGTTAAATCACACACTCCCGTGATTCCTTGTTTCATGGTGGATCATAATCCCAAATATCCCAAACACAGTGACATGTCGGGATGGGTCAGAGCCTCGACGCCATGTACTCGTGTAGTTCACATCAAAATAGCTGGGTTTTGCGGATGTTCATCCCCTTAAACATTGCATTTTATTGCTATAGATCTAGTTCCGTATATCAATGATGAGTTATATAGGTTGTAGGTATCAAATCCAAAATATCTCAAACAAATCAACATATATTAACATATCTTAACATCATTGGCTTGCATTAACCCAGTTGTATTCTGGCTCGCCCTTTCCAACATCTTCCCCTGCGACCACGGACCGACGGATGGGTGACTGGTCCGAGCCAACGATCTGTGTATCCTGGGTCTGTCTGTAAATGGGGAACTTTTGGACCCACAGAATGGGAGATAAACATGGGTTAGCCCTATAAGAATGGCAATTTTTCGTGGGAATGACGGAAACCTCATGCTTATTTTTGAAGCATATTGAGTTGGGTTACCAGATTCCTATGTTTTATTGTCTGTGTTTTTGGGTCTGTCGACTAAAACAATATGGAAACCACCAAATGTAGTGGTTGAGGAACATGCTTTTCTTGCCAGCCAAACCCATGAAATTTGTGGGCACTACTTCAGTCTTGCAGCTGCATTCACCGATCTTCCCGTCAGTCCTCATACTTTTCGGTTTTGCTTGCTTCGTTCACCTTCAGCGTTTCACAAAATCGTAAAAAATGTTTGGGTGCCCCGTGGATGCGTTCACCACAGTCATTTGCCGTGTGGAGATTCTCCAAAGTTTAGAAATGATAGATTATCATGAAATGTTGTCATCAAACCATGGTATATCGTGATTCAATGATATTTCAAATAGCAATTATCTAACATATATCATGAAGTTATAGCCGCCTTCCAAGGTGCCCCGCACATTTATGGTGTCCCGCATTTTTCAATGCCCTGCCGCCCTGCCTTCTGCTGCAGAAGTTCTTCGACGCGATCCAAACCTGAACCCATGGCTGCGGAGCTGGTTCTGGCTCAAAACGATTTGCACCCAGGAAATTCCAAGACTTCGTTGGTCAAAACAAAACCCAAACATTTTTGGGTATCCAAAATTAGAGCAAAATACGGCTTGAGACATGTGGGACCAATTTACAAAAGGGGAAATCACCTGAAGTGTTGAACAATGCCAAGAAATATCAAGAAAGGCGCCACACGCCTGGTTTGATTGGATCCACCAGTTCGATCCATTCCACACTGCGTAAATTTCAGGGCAGGACATCAAGGGGATTTTTTTGGGCGTCCCGGCGGGATCGCAGGTCCGCAATCTGTACAAAGGGCACCAGGACATGATCTTTCTCCTGGAAGAATCGAGAAATCCAACAGGTGCCCAATTGGTGCTGACCCGAACTGGCGATGACCGGAACTGAGAAATTATTTTGAACAAAAATATGTACAGTAGAATCTCAAGAACTGTTTTTTTGTCAGTGCTGATCATCGATGTGGATGCTTACACTTTGCCCAGCCCATCGGTGCCAGCGCCTGGCTCCGGGAGTGTGTGCGGCTGGCCCTCAGCAGTTGAGAAGTGAGGTTATGTGCCCAGCTCACATGAAAATAGTTCGGTTTTATATGGTTTTATGCATGTTCATCACTTTTTATGTGAGATCTATATAGGTATTGATCAATTTCCACATGTCAACCATGAGTTATAGGTATCAAATCCGACATATCCCAAACAAATGAAGAAATCAAGATACAGGGAGGTGTCCAAAAATGGAAGTAACCCCAAATCATTCATTCTAATTGGATTTTCCACTATACACCATCCAGCTATTGGGGTGTCCCCATGGAACACAACAACATAACCAAGGCTATGACGATGGAGAATGGCCGGCTGTGCTGATGATGCTTTTCCGCCTGGACAGTTGTTTTTTTTGGAAACAAACCATGTTTTGTTTTCCAAAGGTCAGAGCAATTTGGACGGATAGGGGCACCCCCAGCAGCAGCCCCAAAAATATCGGTTCAAACATGGCAGTCCTTGGAGCGCTACCTCCTGGCCAGGAGAATGTGAACGGAGTTCAGCAAGGATTCTCACTTCTATCAGAGACATCATGCACTGCATCCTGTCAGGGACACCGGGGACACCTTCGTAGGGTCTAAATTGACTAAGCATAAAGATATCTAAAGATCATAAAGATCATGAAAATTCCTGATGCTTTTCAGCTTCCAGCATTCTTCCGGCCTCTATGAACAATTCCCAAGGCCATTAAGAACTCCTCATGCTGCACAGCTGCCTGCGATTGCGATGCGCTGCGACGTTTTTGGCACCTCCCAGCCGTATCCTCAAAAACCCCAATTGCGCCAGCCTTATACATCTCCAGGGTCATCACCGAAACATCTGCACCCACGATCTCATAGAACAAGCGTTCCATGTCCTTCGGATGCAACGAAGGCGCGAAGGTGTTGAGGATGAGAAGATACGGATGATGTGAGAATTTCAACCTTCGGAAAATGGCAACCGCAAATCATTTGGGAGGGAAACTCACCTTTTTGATCTGGGGTTTCCAAATTCCAGCTGGACAATAAACTTTCAATAAACCATAACTCCTTCTCGGAAGTGTCATCTGCAGTCGCAACCAAGGAAGATGTGAGCCCTCTGCAAGCACGAATCAGCCTCACTTCAGTGCAACATCCACATATCCACGTCAAATCTGGCAGCTTGCTGACTTCAAAATCTTCAAACACACCTCGAAGGGTCTAAGGCGAGGGCTTTTTAAAGTCCTGCTGGCGATGCACCAATACGGTTTAAGAAGATCTCAGGTTTCTAACAACTATCTCACAAAGGCACAACAACCATTTTCTATAAATGTCTAATTAATTTATGATTAATCTATGAATTTCTATAATTATCTATAATTAATCTATAATTACTCTATAATTACTCTATAATTAATCTATATTAATCTAATTTTCTATACCTAATCTATGAATTTCTATAATTACTCTATAATTAATCTATAATTAATCTATGATCTATGATCTCTCACCATGAAATGATCAGCTGCCTCCAGAGAGAGACTCTCAGCGGCACATTTCCCAGCTGCCATGTCGAAGCTTAACTGAAGCTTCTGGTCCTATCGAGGCGCTAAAATCATCGGATGCTTCGAAAGAGAGATCTATGGATATATATGGGCTATGTATACTGTGAATACATCTGTATACTGAATTTCTGCATCATGGGAACATTGAAACTTTATGATACTTTATGATACTTTAGTACGTTAAGCAACACTAATATAGGTCATATAGGGGATATTCATTGGAATTTTCAAACTACATGATGCGGTTCCTTCAACCACAAGCACATAGATTGCTCTGTAAATCCCAGGCATCTGTTTGTTCAAATAATGAGTTGAGTAGTGAATTTCTCTTCTGTTCATTGTTGCTGTCACCACTGTCACTACTTCCATTTCCCATTCATATCAAACCACCCTTTCCAGTTGGGTCATGGTTTTCTGTGGCTCCCCTACAAAAAAGAACATGGTTTCTGGATGTTCTGAGGTGTTTTAAGATCCGAAACGGGGGATTGGGATGATCATATCAGGTGAATATTATATTAATTGAAATGGTGACACAATCTTCCAAACAAACGATAAAACAATATATAAAACATGTATCATATCATCCAAACAAAATCAAAGACATGTAAACATCAATAGATCTATTAAATCTATTGATATCACAAGGTTTCAAAACATAGTTTTTCCTGACCCATTCCCTGATTTCCCTTCTCCTCAGTGCCACGGATCATGATCGCCAACGCTGCCACGAATTCGTGGAAGCTCAGCTGACCGTCGCCAGAGGAGTCGAACCTTCGCGACTTGGAAAATCTTCGAACTTCATGGAGTTTGATAGAATTTCATGGGAAAATATGGGAAAATCATTGAAGAATTGGAATCTTTATGAGCTTTTTTGTTATTTTCTATTGCCATGATTGATTTACCAGAGGTTAAGATTGATTCCCTTGAACACTTTGGGTATTTGCTTTTTTTAGAAATCCTGCCATGGTTTTAGCATCAAAACTTGGCAATTTATGCCGGGCCCATCCGCTTCGCCAAAACACCATTACTGGTTGGGAAAATATGGTTCGTCAGTTGGGATGATGAGATTCCCCAATATGATGGGAAACATATGGAAAAATACTGTAAAATTCATGGTTCCAAACCTCCAATCAGATTATGACATATGAATACATATGAGATATCTGACATATCACGACATATCTTTTTTTTTCGTTCAGTGCTATAGTAGCTCTACAGTGGACATTTGAACATCGGACGTTTCCGAAAAAAAAAAGAATCCTCCCCAGCTCTGCAGCTCCGCTCTGCCATCGGTGGGACCGGACACTCGAAACATGTGCTCCGCCAGGAAGGGATCGTCGGACAGCCCGAGGACACCTTAGTAAATCCACCCATCGACTGGAGATGACTGGTGGATATGTTCCTGTGTACCATCTGGTTATGACATGTTATGACATTCACAGTTTGCCATGGAAAATCAATCCCCATGCTATTAAGAACGGTGTTTACCATCTATTTCGATTAGGGCCATGGCTTACAATGGCGAACTGTTAGTCATAACCAGAGGGTATCTTCAATGATGCACTGAAATCCAATCCAGGCATGATTGGATATGACTAGTGTGTATCATGGCAGTGTATCAATGATGAACTATGCTGAAATCGCTGGAAGCGAAAAAACATCAGCAAAACCGACTCAAGAACATATGGACATCCCGACTCAAACAATCTCAAACGATCCATGGAAATTCATCACCATGAAGCGAACGTGTTTTCTGTAGGCCTATCCCAGCTGCAGCTGTGCTACCCATGGTCTGCTTGAACTGTTCCGGCAAGAGGTAGCCGCTTGGTGCCAAGCGCCTCAGAAACCATTGGAATCCATGAGCTGTCATGGTTCAATAATTTTTAAGAAACCATTGATTGAGATATCTATTGGAAATATTGAGATATCTATGATCAATATGGGTTCAATATTGGAATCTATTGAACTCTATTGGAAACCGATGTTCAACTTCCGCCCAACTTGAGAAATCCAAAGCTCCGTGATCAGCTGTCCGGCCTAAAGCGGGCATACAGGGCTTTTACCTGGCAGCAATTAACTGCAGCCTTCGTTGATGTCCACCCAATGTGGAGCTCACAACTCATATTTTCTTGCTGGTTTATCATATTTTATCATAATATATCATAATATCCAATGTTTATCCGTTAAACCATGTTAAACCCCAAGATTTTTAGTGGTCTTGGGCATGGCAAGTTCCACAGAATCGATAGATCATCTTTGGTGGAACATCTCTTAAGTCCCAACCTCGGAGGTATTCAGCTGCGTCTGAGCTGTTAGCTCCTGGCATTGCAACCACTAAATTCCGAATCTCTTGATTTGACTGGGATCGATTGCAAGAGATAAGTATGGCGTATGGGGCTTCAAGCAAAATTGCGGGGGCCCAAGAAAGCATGTTTCCCCATTTTTTCCCAATTCTTCCCAATTTTTCCTCATTTTTCCCAAGAAAAAGAGACTTTTGGATCATAACTTGGGGACTTCCATGACTTCAAAACTATGTCCGGACAGGTTTTATCATCGCTCCTGCAGCCATTCACGGCGAATGGTCTTTGGCAGCACAGGACCTCCGCCACAGCCGCAACCTGCGGTGCTTCCCGTCGATATATCCATATCTGAAAGCCTGACTATTGCTTCTAATTATATATATAATGGTTATCCATGTATATCTGATTGTCCATGTATATATATATAATATGTAATATTATATATATACACATACAGAAAAGAACGTATCAATTGTCGTTTCCTCCACTCGAAGCCATCTGCTACTTCGGAATCGTCTTTGAAGACTCTCACTTCTTGGTGGTCTCTCTGTTTCAATTTCGGCCTGCCATGAAGAGTCAAATGGCAGTGCTGCCTGCAAGGCGGTCAGTAAATCTATGGCTCCGTGGATCTCAAATCCTATCCCCAGTTGCGTTGGAAAAAGAACGAGGATTCGAAGCATTCGAAGCATACTCCGACTTAGCGTCTCTTTGAAAAGAGTGGGGTTTCCCCACTTTCGGACAGAGCCAAATGGAGCTGATTGAAAGCAATCAGCACTGATCCAACTGCCGAAAAGGCCTGTGGTGAGATGTAACCGGTCTTGGAGTTGATTCAGTCATATTAAGTCGATGCAAAGCCAAGTTCTGCGGACGTTGCCTAGAGCCTCAAATTGTCAGGTTGAATCATTTTTCAGGGATACCCAAAAATAGGCTGAACATCTGTGGTCCCTGGTTGGGTCTGAAATCCTCAATTTCATGGCTTCAACACCACGACAGGACATTGTCGCTCCCACCTTGCAGCAGGCTCCATGGTGCCGATGATATCAGACAGCTGCGAGGTTTCATCGAAGAAAAGCTTAGAAAAGCTGGGATGATCCTGGAATCTGGTTATATCTGGTTATATCTGGTTATATCTGGTTGATCAATGGCAAGTCATCCTCATCTCCGACTCATCTCCCGCCATTTTTTGTCTGCGAGTGCAAGGGTTCAAAAACGGCTCCACCAAGGATTGAACGATTTCTTTGGACAAGACCGGCTGCATTCGCAATGCCCGGCCCGTCGTCTCGTACCTCCCTGTCTGTTCCAGTCTGGAGGATGCCATAAATGGTCACCACTGGCCATGCATCAACCAGAAAGCTTCAAATGTCAATCATTGCCAATCAATATGTTGCACAGTTATCTGAAACAGCGGACATTTTTTGCATGATTTCAGTTGTTCGTATTCACATGTCAGTGACTTCACAATTTCTCTCAGTCCCGTTGCTGCCAATAACATGAGGATTTCTGTTGAACAGCCCCATTCTTTTCAGCCGCGTTCATCACAAGAGTCACGATGAAATTGACCTGCCACTGACCATCTGCCGGAGAAATAGAGGCCGTCAGGGACGAAAACTTTCACTGGTCATCTCAGTTACTGTTGCTGCAGGGGCTTGCACTTCCCGCGCCGCTTGTGATTGAGATTGGCCCTGAAAGGGATGGCGTGGTGAATTATAGAATGATAGTGGCAAAACACTGGTCAATACTGGTTAATGGCTATATATGGCGATATAATAGATATGTAATAGATATATGTATAATATGAATGACTTGAGATTTTCAAGATCAAGACCTTTGGGACATGCCTAGTACCATAATGTACCGCATTGACTTGCCTTTCTTTGGCGGCACAGCCTATAAGCTTGGCGATCACAGGCACCGGGTTTTTGAGGTCAAATCTGTTTGGAAGTTGGAGCAAAATCAGCAAATAACGATCCGTTAATGAAACATCACCTATTGATATTTATTTATAGATGATTTTCCCATTTGAATCTCCAATTATTAGGGTGATTTCCAGGCCAGCAAGCCAGGTTCGGGCAGGGTACCAGTGGTTACCAGTCCCGAAAACATCTAGCCATCCAGCCTTCAGTTTGAGGGCCAGAGCAAGCCCTGCAAGCGCAGCAACGGAAGCTAGTGCCACTGCTGTGACAAAGACCCAGTCGACACGCCTGGCTATGGTGTTTTTTGAGGGAAAATGGTGGATTCTGAGGAAAAACCTTGGTCCTATCTGTTCTCGATCATCGATTTTTTTGCAACCGCAGCCTCCATAAACATTCCGATTTGGGAAAGAGGTGTTTTTTGAAAGCAACCAGTCCCCTTATGTCCCCTTCCATTTCAGAAATCCATTTCAACTGTCAACCCCACAGATCATCAATCATCCCAGATTGCCCAGAAGGCCTGCCCGCCACTGCAGTTTGCAAGGGACGAACATAGCTGTCACAACCGGTGGTGTTCCAGCACTTGGGACAACCTGCCATGTGTCACTTGTCACTGCACGGGTGATGATCAACATGCTCATAATCAGCCCAAGTACCCATAAAGGTTGGTATTTTACCAGTTGACCTCATGATTTTTTGGTCCAGTTACCTCAATTTTTCTACTTCCCAGGGACCCATTTTTTCAAAAATCCCAGACCCCCCCTTTCTTCAAATGGGGATACCCTCTGGTAAAGTAACATAACTATGGAAAATCACCATTTTTCATGGGAAAATCTACTATTTCTATGGCCATTTTCCAGTTCGCAAACTCTTAGTTTACCAGAGGATAACAGTTGGGCGATCCGCACCTGGTGACCATGGCGTCTCAAGAGAATCTCCTGGTCGATATGTTCCTGGTCCTCCATCCTTCGCCTCGAAACCAAGGCATTGGATCGCCTTAGCCCTGGGAGTCCAATAGGTGCCTTGGCCAAACATCGCCAGTGGGGGGCCACGAGTCATCTGTTTGAATAATATCATGTGAATATCTATAATTGGTGAATTTCCCATATTCATATTGATATATATGGTATAACATTGTATAACTATACTATTGAATATTAATTAATTACTGGTTGGTGGCTGACCTACCCCTCTGAAAAATATGAGTTCGTCGATGGGAAGGATGACATACCATATATGAAATGGACAATAACATTCATGTTTGAAACCACCAACCAGTAATTAAGTCTGTAATAAACTCATGTCCATTGTTAAAATGACAATCAGTTTGATCCATAGCCACAGAAGTTTCAGAGCCTCAAACACCTGGCGGCTTTGTATCATGATTTCCACCCAGCGATTTCACCCAGCGGCGTCCGTCCCACCAGGGTAGTGGTTTCCAGCACATTGCGCAGTCGCCATCCTTCTTCTCCATACATTTTTGGCACCTGCTGCAGATCTGCTCATTGCAACAGGCACTGCAGCCTGACACCGTCAGATGGCGGGCGCTGGTACCAGCCCGGAATGTGTCAAACGATGATAAAACCAATGGATTTTGGAAGGCTCTATTTTATCCACGTATTTTTCAACATCTGGAGGATTTTTTTGAAAACGGTCGGAGAGGTTGTGAGCACATTGTTCCGTCGACTTGATTGGGATCAATATGGATCAATTTGCAATGGACTGGAACAAGTAGGTGGTAAGCTCAACATCTTATTCACGACTGAACTCGTTCAAAACCAAGAGATTCTGCTTTGATACATCACAAATCTCACCAGAACTCGATAGAACTCGATGGACCAGGTATCTAACTGCCCCATGGTGAGAGTGATGATGATGACCCAATGTGACCTATGCCCAAGGTGCCCTGTTTTTCCTGGCCTTTGGTAGGACTGAAAGGCTCAGCTGATTGACCCTTCTTCTTGATGGTCACATCAGCACAGTTGGTCCAAATCTGCTTCGTCATCTCACAATCCTTGAATCACACCATGATTAGGACTAGGAAGGTTGAATGGTAATCCGATCCCCCGAAATTATTGATAATTAATCCAAACCAATCCAAATGAAATTAGGAAATAGCACGAATTTTCATTTTTTCTTAATCGGGTGGGATCGTTGGTAATCCGATCCTCCCAATCTTAAACCCAAAAAAACATGATCTATTTAGGGCCCAAAAATGGGGGATCGCTACAAGATCCAGGGGCTCCAGGGGCTCCAGGGGCTCCAGCTATACCATGATAGGATGCCATGGTCTGGTTATGACTAACAGGGCTAGCCCTGTTAGTCATAACCAGATGGTATTTCATCACATGTCCATCCCCCCCATCCCCCTGAACTGCCTGAGCTGTAAAGCAAGGTTCCCAACGCCAGCTCAACACATAGTCCCCTTCAGGGACATCTGGGACTTTCACCTTGTCCACAACGCCAAAATCAAAGGAAGCGTTCTTGTACTCCTGCCAAATCTGCCGATGTTGCTGAGATCAGAGAAAATCCGAAAAAAATCGTCCACTTCTGTGAAAACCAGTTGCCCCGCAGCAACACTGCAGCAGATTTCAAGCATCTCTGGATTCGCAAACATCTTCCTTGTGTAGTCTCATTCTTTTGCTTTTCATGCTATGGAATAGCACATCTGTCCACAATCCTTAACCCATCATTCACTTTCATTTGCTGTATCTTTCAAGGAACTTTAAGAACTGTGCCGCTGCGTGCATTCGCAAACACGACATTTTCCATGGACACGCGGACGCAGCCTCTAACGTGCAAGCAGCTGATGGTTTCTTAGTGAGATTGCCGAAGCAGTAGCCACCACCGTACCCGAAAATCCTGGCGTTGCCGTGTCAAAAATTTTGATCCTACAAATGCATGGAAATGCATACAAGCCTGCGGGAAACATGCAGTTTCTCGTCTGATGGGGCAATCAATCATGATAATCCCTACATTTCTGATATTTCTGTTTCACTGTGGTGACCATCACATCACCTTATCCAATTACTACTGAAAAAATACTGAGATATCACCTATATATAATCGCTTTTTTTGGGGTCACCCCAAAGATCGCAAAAAAATCAGATCCATCGGATGACTCAAAAAATGGGATTCCGACATCGGTCCCTTTCGCAGTACCATCCGCGTATTTCCAGACTTTATCATCGCCAGGGGCTGGTGTAAAAGTTGGCTCGGAACAGCTGGACCTGAGATCCGACGATTCGACGATTCGACGGGCCATCCAGTTCTGGAAATTGCCTGAGACCGTTTGTTGCCTGAAAAACAACAAAAAATATCCAAAACTCAATGATTTTCGTAGAAATTTGCAGATTTAAAAAATCACCTTTTGTAGGGATCCATCGTTTTTCAAACAAAACGCCGCGGGTACCAAGCAACTTGGCACGTCCACCGGTATCCTTGCAGCCAGGTATTGGATTCATAGTCCAGGTCGATCCCTTTGGAACGACTTTCCTCGGCGCAACACATTGGAGCTATGCAGCTGAGGGTTTTTTTGAGGCTTTACATCTCATAGACATGAATGAATTCAATTTATACAATATAACTATGTCTAATAATATCTAATATATATATATAATATATACATAATTATATATATATATGTCAATTCAGGCATTCCCATGAGTGCACAGCCGAGTGTTTGCCCTGGGACGGGTATGTGGTTTCGTCATATATACATGTATATATATATATATATAAATATATACATATATATATATAATATTTATATATTTATAATTACTAAATACATATATATATAATATAACAATATTATACACTAAATATCTGGTGGTTGACCTACCCCTCTGAAAAATGATGAAATTCCCGGGACGGGCCAGGGATCTCACCCCCGACTCGACGGGCTTTCACGGTGATGCGTTGTGAAGCATCATAGCCGTTGCCAAATTGGAGCCATTGATCCTCAGTTGCTTCGTTTTCAGCAATTTCCAAGAAAAACACTGGAACAAAAACATATGAAAGTCAGATCAATAGACTATTTTACTGATCACTTTATGACATGTAGTTCCGGAGAAGTGGAACCACCATTCTCCGGCAACACCAAGAATGAAGCGGACAAAGAACTGACAGTTTCAGTATGTTACAGTTATCAAGCTGACATCCAAGACACTTCGCCCACAAACTCCAGCGGAGTTTTCTGAAAACACTCTTCCGTTGGATCCTCACTGGCCGGACAGAGGCGGTATTGATAGCCGCCGCCATGATTGGCAGCAATGCCCCAGGCCACCTTGGCTACGATCCACCATAGTGTGGATGTGACCAGAAACATCAAGCCATCAAGCCATCAAGCCATCAAGCCCTCCAAGCCCTGTTCTCGAACACTCAAGCCCAGCTATCCATATGCATCATATGCCGATATCGTGAAATCCAGTAACGCCAGCGTCAACGCCGTCAGGATCCGTATGCAGGATCCGTATGCAGGATCCGTATGCTTCCAAGGGGCTTCCACAGTTGTACCAGCCACCCACTCAGTTTTCTCCAGCAGCTTGGGAAGCGCCTTCCCTTCATATCCCGTGCTGAACCCGGGTGGCGGATCCAACTGGCCCAGGGGTTGCCTTCCGCCTGCCGTCAGTCCGCAAGCGTCTTTCACGGGTGCATTGCCCGGATAACGCCAGGGGTGGTACTTGGTGTCCCCTCCATAGCCGTCCTGCCACTCCAAGGTGGGAGGACCAAACTTCTGATCGGATCATGTTTGGCACCATCCACTTTTTCGGGTTTACCCATTAGATTGCAAAGATGGACATGCAACATTCGGAAAGAATCAAACCTTTCGAGAAATCAACATCCTCGCAGTTCTATCAATAATCACAACATTCACAACATTCACAGTTTTCGAGGTCGAAGGATGTCAGCTATGCCAGTGATTTCTCCTCTTTGTACTGCAGCAAGTGATCATCCTGACCCCACAAAAGGGTTGGTTCCACGGCTTCCCACAGCCTAACTGGGTTTCGGTGATCTCGGCACAGCCGATTTCACAGCCTGCGTAACGCTGGGATCTGCGTCAATGTGTACAGCTTGAAAACCGTGGAATGCTGAAATGTGATGAACACTAATGATGAAAACCTTAAGTTTTCAATTGAACATCACCGTTATTTTCAAGATTTGGAGTTTCACTCCCAAAATTCTCCAAGTTGGATTTTTGACATGATTATTCACCGTTGGCAAAACGACGTGTTTTGGGTTTTTTTTTCGATTCACGCCTTGATTATACCATTGACATGATCCTCCCGGGCAGGTGGGTGCCAGCAAGGACATTCCGAAGCCATTCCGAGCAGGCGGCTCGTACCTCAGTGGTTCCATGATGGATGTGGAAGCCCGGTGATGGCCGCCCATGGATTCATATTATATATAGATTATAATCATATATATATAATATAGATTAATGAGATATAATGAGATATAATGAGATTCTACCCTGAAAAATCACCATTTTGAAGAATTAACAGAAGGACATGATGATTTAAGTGTTATTTTGATGGTGATTTCATGGGATACGAATGGATTACACCATACTACACCCTCTGGCTGTTTAACAATGCTCAAGCCGGGTGAGCAGTGTGCCCTCTGGATGTGTCTGGAGTCATTCTGGGGAAAACTTATCATCCATTGGAATTGGGATACATAAAATGATATATAGCCTATTTTAAGATATGTTACAGAATCAACGACTTTGTTTGGAGAACGTGTGGGCTGCTCTTGACTGCTTTAGCATGTTTTAGCGCGGGCACTTTCGGGGATTGTTGGCCGACTTTAACACTGGCAACCTGACATGATTTAGGCAAGCTCACTAGTACCATTTTCCACAGATTCTCCTGTCCGAAAGCTAGTTCCAATTGCCTTCCCTGTTGCCCGACCTTTGGTATGAACATTATGAACTGTTTGCACCACACAAAATTGTCTTCTGTCCACACTTCTTTCGGCACATTCCACTTCCATTTCAACCCTTTGGAGATCCTTCGAACTTCACCATTCCACCTCCATCATCCCCCATCTTGACCAGCATTTTCACATATTTTCACCAGCATTTTCTAGCACTTCACCAGATTTCATCAGGAATTGGATCTCCAGAGATTTCAGCTCCTTTCTGCAGAGTTGCATGGCTCCATGGCCAGTCACCCCTGGCAAGAGGCACGGCAGAAAACGCGCCATGCCCGCCATGCCCCGGTGCTGACGGTGCTGAGATGTGCGGGGATGGTAAGGCCGCAGCTTTCTGAGCCAAAGCCGTCAAAAAATATGGTGGAAATGTGGACTAGTGAACCAAACATGACCAGACTGCCATGCACATGCAATACATGCTAAACTCAAAGAAACCTCCATTTGCGAAGCTCAGATTGGAGACAAAGCCAGGATTTTCTCCATCTGGGACTGCCTTACTCCTATTTTTTCCCGTGAGCTCAACTCCACTGTCATCTCGTTGTATCCACTCCTTGGAGAACTGCACTGGGGTACAGCAAGAGTTCCTCTCCAGCCATTTCCTTCCACACCTTCAAAGGTTCCGGAAGGTTGAAAGGCGGCCTCCTCAGGTTATAACCCTTGAAAATCTCATGTCCAGGTGACAATGCTTCAAAGGCACTGGAACCACCTGCTAGGTCCTGATTGGAGGCCTGGGGCCAACTGGACAACACCACCAGTTGAGGTTTCGCCCGGTACACATTTCTCAGCAGGGACAGGGCATCTGCCAGGTTCAGATGTTGAAAAACATGTCGCACAAATGCCACGGAGAAATCCGCTGGTAAAGGATCTCTGCAAGCATCCAAGACCTTAGCCCACTTCTGTCGATTTATATCAACTTGGTCAAAGGAGCTAAAGGAGCAAAGGTGACAGTGGAAGGTGCTGAACCCAGTTTATTGCCAATGCTTTGTGGAGGCCTTTTCTTTCGTTACGCTTCGCAAAAAAACAAGGCGCTTTTGATGATATTTAGCGTTTGGACTTGTTTCAATTCCAGCTTGACTGTCAGATTGAAGCGTCTTTCTGAAGCCTCTTTGGGCAAAGGTTATCATGTTCAAATTTCAGTTTCATCCTGTTTCATCCAAGTTGCTGCAAATTGAAAGGCATGGCCCGTATGGCCAAAGCGAGTCCGTAAAGACTCGATGGGTTGCTCCGCAATGTCAAGTCCAAAATACACGAAATCTTCCCGCAGGCTCCTCTCCTCTACAGCTTTCAACAGCATGGAAGGCAGCCATTCACCCCAGCCACATCCCACATCCAAAATCGAGAGCTGTTTTGGTTCAGATGGATCGGTTGACAACTGCATCCCTTGCAGAAAGTGAAGGAACGTTGCACCAATTGAAGATGTCGCCCGCTGGGAGGATCCACTTCCTCTACCATGAACAGGCCAAAGAACAAACATTCGATTGGTGTCAGGGGTTATGAGGGTTTCAACATGCTTCAGCATGTTTCAACTAATGTAAAGTTGCATCCTATGAAAAATGCATTGCATGCCATTTCCAGTGGGGTCTGGACAGAAAACGTATGGCCCGGCCTCTTGATTGATGTTTCCCAGCTTTTTTTTTGTGGCAATACTGTAGCTTCGCCTTTATGTCACTAATTTTTTGGTCCCTTATTACGTTTATTATGAGGGTCCCTTATGTCCATTGATGTCCTGTCAACGATTTGCACGACACATCTCTATATTCTCCATGCCATTGCCCCATGTTTTTCCCTGCCTGATGACAATCTTCCCCAGTGTCCAGCAGAATGAATCTCCCTGAAGGCTAAAGACCGGTAGTTGGGCAGTGACTTCAGGGTCTCGTGCAGTGAATTCAGCCTTCCCGCAACCCGTTGCAGTCGAAGTTGTAAGCCATTCCCGCGGGTTTTAATGCGAAATGCCCAGGTGGATGCTTCATCAAAGGACAAATGGATGGTATGTTGCGCTTCCAGCAAGCCTCGGATCATGCCCAACAAGCCCAACATGTCATGCTGCACATGCTCCCCTCGATGAAGTATCCTTGCCGCCCGGTTCAAAATATGATACTGCTCTTCCAAACTGGCTCGATCATCCGCTGCAAGCGCTTGCAAATCAGCGGATTCAGCTGAGAAATTCTGGGAAAACTCGGCTTTTCCCATGATGCAATTTTCTGTCTGCTCCAAAATGTCAGTCAGCAACTCGATGCGAGTAATATTTGGAGCTACAGAGAATTGCCATCTGCTGAAGGTGCGCAAAAAAATCTGAGGGCCTTCCCAAGTGGTCACTTCTTCACGCAGCCGGGCTAAATCTTTGGCAAGTTCTGTGCAGGGATCAGTCTGGGAAAGCCACAGTTCTCTCACACCAGAGCACCAATCAGGGACAGGGATCTCATCCATTCCATTGGTTCGATCGGTCCGTTTTCGATCTCCTAAACTCTGAAGCACCAAATGCACCTGGTCCAAGGATGCTTTGGTTGCATCAAAGATTTTCTCAAGGCCATCCGCATTTTTCGCATCTCGAAAGGTCCAAACTCTGCGGTTGAAATCTCCCAATTGGGCGGTCTGGATATACATCATGGCACCTCAGATTTTTTCAGAGATCCCCTGTTACACAGATTCTGAAAATGATCATTTAAGTGTATACTCTTGATGCTGTGATTCTATGGGTGCCCTAATGATGTTGAACACTACAGCAATGAACACTACATGTCTCTGAAAGAGGGCACAGGTCTCAAAACTGAAGCTTCTGGTAGTTGAGGATTAGCATCCCCATCGAGTCATGACTAGTCAATGAGAACCAGAGGCTTAACCAACGACGACGGGTACATCCCAACCCCAACCAATATCAAACCATATGGGTATCAGTGTGATATCTTCGGATCTTAGAACCACAAAATCACCCAGATATCATCAGATATCCAGATCATAAACAGCCAAAAACATCTTGAACCCAACCAAAAAATGACGTTTTGCCTTCCCTATTTTCACCCAATTCGCAGAAATCCGTCATTCTGTTAGATTGTCGGGTCAAAATGTGGTGCTAGGCTACCGAATGACCTAAGCCCTCGAGCCATATTTAAGATTCGGGTATGGGTATAGTGAGTATAGTGGTACCAACTTAACCATCTTAACTCTTAACCATCCAAACATCATCAGACAATTCTCCAGACATCAAATCATCCTCCATGGCATGAGACCCAGCAGTTCTCCACATCCTCAGTGCCAGGGTACTTCGGTACAGGTCGTCACTGGGTCTCTGGCTCCGGGCAAAGCCCAAGCTCTTCGCTAAGCAGTTGCTGAATCCCGGTGCAGCTGCCAGCCTCGATCTGGGATTCATCGATTCATCGATTCATCGATTCACCATGGGTCAACTTGCAGAAAAGGATTAGATGATAATTATATGAATTATATGTTTACAATATCAAAGACGGTTAAAGATGATTAAAGGATCTTGTTGATGGCTTCAACATGGATGTAGACTGAGTTTCTGTTGCTGAACAACTTGTGCTTCAGCTTCCGCTTCTGCTGATTCGGTTTTGGATATTAGGAATGTACCATCCCTGCATCAAAATCATGGGTGCAGTCCGTCAAATGGGCGTCAAGGTGCAAGGGTTTTGTCAACCCGTCATCCCAAGTCACCCCAAGTCATCCCACAGAAGCGATGGATATCGCCAAGGCACAAGCCCTGCAAGACAGAAGCTTGCTTCAGAAGTATCTCGAAGTTCACCGGCAAATGCGAAGTTGAGCGCTTTGCTTCACTGTTCCATTCGGACACAGCCTTCTGCATCTGTTCCCAATCCTCTTCCAGCCTGCAGTGATGCTTCCGAGTTTGATCCGCTTGTGAAGGAAATCCGGGACGGGAATCCAGGGCTCTTCATCAGGAAAACTCATCTGTGGGAGCAGTAGGGGGCCAACCCAAAAAAACATGTTTCATCATGTTTCGAGCCATGTCTCTATCCTATCTTCAGATTGTGGATGGCCGAAACGCATGGAACCCCTCCCGATATCTGACCTGGTCAGCTGATTTCGCAACGACAGGAGCACGAAACCCAAACTCCTCAAGTCATTGGCCGTGGCCATCTCAACCACGTCCAAACCTGGCGCGAAATGGCTGCGAAAATCGCAGCATGTTGAAACTTTAACCCCAATGTCAATGGATTGGTTTAAGGGAAAATCTACAGGAAACCATGGTTTTTACCATCAAATATAGGGGTTTCCTGTAAATTTTCCCATCATCCAATTCTATGACAATGATGTGCCATGGGCAAATCATTGGCAAATCATGGGCGAATGCACCAAGATGGACTCAAAGTCTCACCCAAAACTCCGACGGGACAAGAAGCTGTTGGGCCAATCTGCATTGTGCATCTCCAGCACTAGCTCTGACATGCTCGTAGATGCCCATACCTGGATGATATGAGCAAATGTCCAAAATATGCAGGGCCAGGGCAAACCTAAATCTGTTCATATCTGTTCTATGTGTTGATCTCCTCCTCTTGGATGCAACCAACATCAAGCATGGCAGAAAAATGGCATCCTCTGCTGTGGTTCTGTCCCCTCGGGCCCGGGGCCCGACTGGGGCCCGACTGGGGCCCGACTGCCTGCGGCGACCACTGGTAGATTTGCTGCCGAAGTTGGAAAAATTGGCTCAGCAATTCTGCTTCCCTTCGCTCTCTCAACCTCGGACCGATGGTCATCGATACTCCCATTAGCCACACTTCCAATGCCCAGCCACATTAGCCACCGCCTCATAGGGGGACCTAAACTGCGCTTAAAAACTTGAGACCCCACTCCATTGATCTACCTTGATCTACCCAGAAACCCAGAGAGGAAGGATAGAAAGGATAAGAATCAGCATGACATGGTGAAGCCGGGCCAAGTGACACTGTCTCAGCAAGAGATAGGATGGACTCCCAGTGCAAATGCCACTGCAGGGGTCCAGATCGCAGCGGTGCAGTGACGTCAACTTGTGCCTGGCATAAACTGGATATCACTGGATATATCTGGATATCGACAAAAATCATCATTTGATACAATCTGTCGATACAATCTGGATTGGTGGATTGGAATGCCAGCTATCTTGCACCAGTTTCTTTGCCGAGTGACTTCTACAGAAGAGAAGCTGACCAGAATGACTCCAATTGGGATCCAAGTTGTCATGTGCTGGGCACCAGAGGTGACTCGGTGGTTGAGCCACCCAAACATGAGCCAACTGCGGGTGCTGCAACGGACAAATGCTTGGTTTGTATATTTAAAACATTTTAAAACCAACAAGCAGCAAAAAAGGCTGCTGTTTCCTCAGTCTCTCTGATATCCCTGGCCGAATCCACGGTAGTGAATTTAGTGAATCGCGGAACAAAAAACGATCTGAACCTCATGGAAAATGCAGTGAGCATGGAATCCAAGCAGCTCAACTTTTTATGCTTTCACACTGCTCGCAATCCGCAGCAGTCCACCTCTTTTGTGGTCGACATAGATACCGTACCAAAGTTATCCAAAGTTGTCACCCTGAGAGATCTTCGCCCGGCACCTTCAGCAACCGGCTTGGTATCAATGGATTGAGGGAAAATCCTGGGGAAACGATTTGTTACTAACGTATTCAAACATGAGGCTTTCCCGATGTCTAAGCACTTCAAACAATCTGGGAGTCATTCTCGTTCCAAAGTTGTGAAAAAAACGATATGCCCCAAAGATAGTCAGTCACCTTTGATTGTAAGAGAAACCCTCGATGAAATCCGAATTTTCCATGTTGACAGCTTTGGGGCAAACGTCAAATTCATTGAAATTCGACATCTTCATGGCAATGGGTCAAAAAAGAAAAAAATCAAACTTCCAAAAAATTGAGTTGTGAAAAGAAGTTTGACTCTAGAAACCAGCTCACACTTCTAAAAACCAGCTGGCTGGAGCTCTGTCTGACTGAGGTATCTGAGCTGTGGCAGCAAAATCCAGCTATTCAGCTACAAATGTGGCTATGGATCAATACCTATGAAAATACCATTTTTAAGTGGGATGAACATCCATAAATGCCAGCTATGACTTGGGGTTCACTAGGTGCCAGGGTTTTGACCCATCCCCATGTTTGAATCAGGAAACTGATGCATATCAAACATATCAAACCCATCCTTCCTCCAACCACCCTATACCACTTCCACCTGCACCTGTGAGGCCCTGTGAGGTCCAAGTCGCTGAATTTCCGACATTTCCTCCAAGGCTTGGAAGATTTGGAGGATGAGGCTCTGATATGTCCGATATGTTAAGCCGAGTCAGAACAAATGAGGTATTTTCTTGGTCTACTTGCCCTATGGTATCGTCAAACATGGCTTTAGCTGGAAAAAAACACTAGAATCGGGCATTTCAATGGGACAATCATGTATCAGCTATAAATGGAGGATTTTTCAGCTAGCCATATTTGATTACCAGAGGTTAGTAGCTTGTTACCCCTTTACCCGGATCTAGATTGCGGGCGGGGTCAATGGTGACCCATAATGACTCTGGCACATCAAGGCTCATCATCTGACAAATTGAAGGTGTTTCAGATTTCTTCTGATTGCTGTAGGTGTGTAGGAAAACTCTTTTGCTCGCCTTTCTTTCTCTAGTTGTTTCTTTTGATCCCTGGGCACAAGTGAAGAACATTCTCTGACATGGCATTCGGCACCAGACCCTTCAGAGAATAACTCTTGGACCAACCCGAGAAACCCTGAGATTTGCGTCGCGTGACAACGATAAAAATCACGCATCTCACGCTGATTTTCAGCACAGATCGATCATTTTTCATCGCCCAGTCAAATCAGTTACAGTATTTCGTTCATTTTCTACAGCCACAACATGCCACAACCACCATACGAAGTATCTGCCATGGTTGGCTCACTGGTTGACTCACGTCATGGCACGGCTTCACGGCTGAAGCGAAGCTTCTGCACGATGACCTCATGGGCTTCTCCTCGCTGGAGCTTTGGCAATTCCGACTCCAGCTCCTGCGACACGGACGGGGACAGGTCAGTTTGAACAGCACCAAACTGACCTCAAAATCTCCGAAATGACACGGAAACTGACCTCAAACTGACCTCAAAACCAAACGCCAAACAATTCTTTCGGACCGAATTCGTTGGATGCTGGAAGTGTCAACCAGCAGGATTCCTCAGCATGTCATGGCATCTGCATCAGGGCTCTCCTGGTATAACCTTTCAGCCAAGGCGGCTCTGCAGTCGGGCTCTCGTACCTCGAATGATTCAGGGCCATTTATAGCCATAGCTGCAACTTTCCCAAGGCATCAACAAGAATTCCCACGAAAACAAAACAATCAAAGGCCATACTCAATAGTTCTTCCAAAGAATACGTCCTTTGGATTCCTTTGGTATTTCTTGGTCTGGACAGCCCTCCATATGCTACACGATTGGAGCAGAACTTAAAGACTTTGCGCCGATTGCATCGTCCATCCCTTCCGCGCCTGCCAAAACAACAGTATCACTGGCGCCATCAACGCCACCCGCGCCAACCAAGGCCAGTCATAGATAAAGGCCACAGATGTCAAGGCCAAACACAGGTAGCTGAAACTCTGTAGTTGGCTGACCTGAAAAACGGTTGAGTTTACGCATTTGACAAAAAACTTGGGAAGTGAGGGACTCAAAAGGTCAAAATTCAGGTTCCTCTGCGAATTCTTTTGAAATTCACCGCGACTTTGTCCAATTCGCTGTTCAACGGATTTTCACCGATTTCCGTTGGACCTGCCTGCGGCCACATATACGGCTGGCACACACCAACAATCACTGCCATGGCCACACTGAAAGCAATGGGCCATTTCCAGGCATCGGTCATGGACACGCAGGAGATCAAAGCCAATGCCAAAAGTTTCGTGGCAACAAACATCCACACGTCCTGCGTGAAGGGGGTTAAAACGGTTGAAATGTGTTGAAATGATCTTGGGAAATATCGAAATTTCGAGAACATGGTTGAAACAGCTCATGATTTTCAATGATTTTCATGGGAATTGGACTTGAGATAAACAGTGCGTTGTTGCAATGGTCATGTTCTGGATATAGACTGGAAATGGGTCTTTTGAAAGGGTCTGTCCTGGCAAAGGGTGTACTTGCACAACAGCGACCGGAAACCAATCAGGAAACGATCTTCTGCTTCGTCCAACATGATGCGCTCAGTCAACATCTCGGTAAGTCTTCGGGTTTTGAGCCTCGGTTTGTCGAAAAGGAAACAAACCTGCAGAAACATGCAGAAACCACTTGGCTCAATGGCAAACAGAACGCGTTGAAAAACTGCAGCCAAGAGGCACCAGAAATGAAAATTACTTTCTTCAATTGATCCCCGCCCAACGACACTTTATCTGACAAATGTTCTGACGTTCTATCTGGCGTTTTTTTCTGGCATTCTGTGACATTTCACTAGTATAGTGTTCGGGCTTGGCGAGCCCAAGAGCGCTGCCAAGCCCTCATACAGTTTGCAGTAAAGAGGACTTTCTGCCAGGAACCTGGCGAGGAAGCTAGGAGGTGAGGACGAGGGGGAAGGAAGGAGGGGAGGGAAGGAAAGGAAAGGAAGAGAAAAGGAAAAGGAAAAGGAAGAGGGAAGAAGAGAGAAGAAAAGGGAAACGAATGGAAGCGAAGGGAAGAAATAGGGAAAAAAGGAAAAACAAGGGAACCAAAGGGCAGCGAAGGGAGGATAAGGGAAGAAAAGAGAAGAAAGGGAAGAAAAGGGAAGACAAGGAAAGCGAAGGGAAGCGAACGGAAGCGAAGGTAACAAAAGGGAAGGAAAGGAAAGAAAAGGGAAGCAAAGGGAAGGGAAGGGAATCAAAGGGAAGCGAAGGGAGGAAAAGGGAAGACAAGGGAACCGAAGCGAAGCGAAGCGAAAGGAAGAAAAGGGAAGGAAAGGAAAGAAAAGGGAAGCAAAGGGACGGGAAGGGAACCAAAGGGAAGCGAAGGGAGGAAAAGGGAAGAAAAGGGAAGACAAGGGAACTGAAGGGAAGCGAAGCGAAGCGAAAGGAAGAAAAGGGAAGGAAAGGAAAGAAAAGGAAAGCAAAGGGAAGCAAAAGGAAGGGAAGGGAACAAAAGCGAAGCGAAGGGAGGAAAAGGGAAGAATGGGGAAGACAAGGGAACCGAAGGGAAGCGAAGGGAAGGGGAGGGAAGGAAGAGAGGGCAGGAGGAAGAAGGACGCGGGATGTCCTGAATTCTAGAGACCTTCAGCAGGTGGGAAACTAAAAAGCAACAACTAAAAAGCAAACAATGCGTGACACATGAAACCGATGACGTCTTTGCATGCAAGCAACGCATCGATGTTTCTTGCTGCTTCCGCATTGGCCACCACTCTGATCATCTTGCCACTCAACCCGCGAACCTCTTCCCCATCGTTGTCGGTGGATGTCGTGGTGATGGATCCATCGTGTAATCGGACCATCCTTTTGCCACGGCAGTGCACCGCCATGTAAGCAGCCGCAGCTGCCTGGACAGTTAGAGCAGCTATTTTGATGGGAGTCCTACAGATTTAGAACCCTTTTTCAGCTATAATCAGCGATCCATATTCCTAGGAATATTTCGTTGATTTGGATTTAAATTGTGCCCCGACCATTGTCATTTTCATTCAACAGGGGCTCATGATGGCGCTGAAACTGCAGCTGAGTAACCAGCAAGCGTTTTGGACCTGATTCCTTTGATAGCTGCCCCTGCAATGTTTGCAAACGAAGCGTGATATCTTCAGGCTCCCCTTCAGCATAAGCACAAAACAGTCGGGCTTCTTGAAGAGCTATGTACCTAACGCTCACAACACCAGCAAATGTGCTAGGGCTGCTAGGGCCAAAGCATGAGATATGGCTTATGGTCATCCATCCCATACCGGCTAAACAGATCCCTATCAATGGATTGATGACCATCCCTCACTACGGGTATACAATCTAACCTTTGACGCACATCATGCGGGCGAGTCCACGCTCGCAGCTGCCCCAGGCTCTGGTGGCGGGCACAGGTGAGTAAAAACTTTTGACCATGACCTAAACCTCGGGAACTCTTCGAACTGTGGATACGCACCGGCAAGGGCCAGGGGAATCCAACAAGGCCGAGACGCTGTCGTACCATCAGCCCAGCCTCATGCCAGGCAATACACAAATCTTTGAACCCCCCAACATAACTCAACTTGGCTCAGCTTCCTCTGCCAAGGAGCCAGGAAGAGAGGTATCAGGACGCCATATGCCAAAGCACTGCTGTAGCCAGCTGCATCGACCCAAAAGCCAATGCCAGTTCTGTCATAGCAGCGAAGGTGTGGAAGGGCAGTGCGAAAGGCAAAGTCCCCGAGGCTTTCGCCATCTGCGGGGCGGGGGCGGCTACAAGACAACGTTTTGATGGATTCGCACTCAGCCTTGAATGTTGAACATTGCCTGTATATGTCAACTTAAAGTGTCATGCGCAGAATCACTATCCTCATCTATCATCCGAATGAATCAAGCACCTCCATCTTCAAACTGACAGCTCAGCAGTTCTGCAGTACTGAAAGCACCACCGATAAACAGCACTGTGAGCGTCTTCAATGCCACGTTGACACCAAGACCAGGACGACACAGCTCAAGCATAGGACAGCACAAAAGCCTCAGCGCGTCTAGACAAGCCACGTGAGGACATGGAATGGGCGCAGAAACTCGGGCTTAAGCTCAGAACCCTAAAAAGTAACAGCATGCAGCAAGATACGCCAAGCAACAAAAGTAGTGGCAACAACGGGGAGCCGAGAGCTGCCAGCATGCGAACCGTTTCGCCATCCAACTTGCACTGCGCATTGAATGAGTTCTGCACATCGCCAATAGTCAGCTGTAGAGCTTCCTTACATGCTTGGCTTGAAAATGATTCAGCTACTTCAATTTGCCTCTTGACTCGTCAGGCTCGTCATTTCAGATGTTGGGGGCTTCAGAATTCAAAGAGAGGCAACACTTTGAGAAACCAAATCCACAGAAATCTATGCTGCAAAACTTGGCTAAAGCCGGTTTCCAAATATGAAAGCTCTGGTAAGGCCTCACGAGCCCGGCCCCGCTGTCCCAGGCTGCCTAGGACTGCCCACAGTTGCACCATCTGAAGCAAAACCGGAGCTTGCATCACCATTCTCTTTCGCAGCAAACTTTCCACCTCAGCTGCGCCGACAGCCGTTGAGAAGCACTCAGATCGCTCGGGATGACGCTAGGATCGGAAGAGAGGAAACGCAAGGATTGGGGTCGGCACCCGGGAATGACAGAAACTGTGATGGGGACAACAGCAAAAGCAAAAACGCATGCCAAATTCCCATGGGTTGGCTTAGTCTTGAAATTTGGACCCACGTTCGTGAATCGTTTCAAGAAGTGACCTTGAGGCAAGAGACGCTGGCACGCTCCGAGACACTGTGACCACGGGAGTGCCAGTAACGCCGGTAAACAAGGACAGCTGCCACGATCAGGGCTACACCTCCCAGCAGTGCCAGGAACCAAACGCGGGCCGAGCTAGCTTTCGAACAGGGCCTCGTTGCCCCAACCCCCGGACAAAAAACACACACACACAATACCGGCTTGTCGTGGCTTTTCGGTTATTTTCACCAACCATGAAGTGTGAGTGTTTTGTTTGCGGTATTTACGCCTTCATTCATACATATGTAAAGTCCGTCGCACATGTTCAATAATTCCTGGACCGGATCGGAACGAATGATGAGTTGAGATTAACAATACCACCCCAGTTAATCATCCCTGGGCTCTCCTCCGAGTTGGGGGCAATACTAAAATCGATTAGGTGGTGTTTTCCCGCCTAAATAGTGGGCTCACCCCCTCAGTTAATCATCCCCCCGGAATCTTCAAAATTTTTGACGGGACTAATTTGCTATTGCCCCCTTTTCCTTTAATTGGGGTTACAGTTTCCAGGGTTGCTTACTGATCCTTTCCTATCTTATGCTTTTTGGTCTCATGCTGGCGCATGTTCCCCATGCTTACCATATCCTGCTGATGCAGCGATTTTTTTTGCTGCACGGCTCATGTTTGCTGTCTCATGGTTTCACGGCCTATACAACATATATATATATACAACATATATATATATATACATATATATTGTATATATATATATGTGCGAGTGTGCGCGTGTGATTCATATCTACAAACACGCACGCACACACACACACATATATATATATATATGTGCTTTATGTGTAAACAGAATACACACACACACATATATATATGTATAAATACATCCATATATAATGACATCTGTTCCCCATGTTTCTATTGATGCTACTCTAACAGTCATATGATGTTTCCTCATTCGCCTCCCAAGCGTCTTTGTGTCAAATTTGCAATTCCAAAACGCCAAAAATAAAACCTGAGAAGGGGGGAACGAAAGCCAGCATCCCATCTATCACTATGTTCCACAATATTTTTCACCCAGAGACTCTTCACCCAGAAACCCTTCTTGCACATACTTTTCACCCATATACTTTTCACCCAGAGACTCTTCACCCAGAAACTCTTATTCCACAGACTTTTCACCCAGAAACTTTTCTTGCACGTACTTTTCTCACCCAGAGACTCTTCACCCAGAAACCCTTCTTGCACATACTTTTCACCCATATACTTTTCACCCAGAAACTCTTCTTGCACATACTTATATACTTTTCACCCAGAGACTCTTCACCCAGAAAATCTTCTTGCACATACTTTTCACCCATAGACTTTTCACCCAGAGACTCTTCACCCAGAAACTCTTCTTGCACATGCTTTTCACCCATATACTTGTAACCCAGAGACTCTTCACCCAGAAACCATTCTTGCACATACTTTTCACGCATATACTTTTCACCCGGAAACTCTTCTTGCACATACTTTTCACCCATATACTTTTAACCCAGAGACTCTTCACCCAGAAACTCTTCTTGCACAAACTTTTCACCCATATACTTTTCACGCAGAGACTCTTCACCCAGAAACTCTTCTTGCACATACTTTTCACCCATATACTTTTCACCCAGAGACTCTTCGCCCAGAAACTCTTCTTGCACATACTTTTCACCAATATACTTTTCACCCAGAGACTCTTCACCCAGAAACTCTTCTTGCACATACTTTTCACCCATATACTTTTCATCCAGAGACTCTTCACCCAGAAACTCTTCTTGCACATACTTTTCACCCATATACTTTTCACCAAGAGACTCTTCTTGCACATACTTTTCACCCATATACTTTTCACCCAGAGACTCTTCACCCAGAAACTCTTCTTGCACATACTTTTCACCCATATACTTTTCACCCAGAGACTCTTGACCCAGAAACTCCTCTTGCACAAACTTTTCACCCAGAGACTCTTCGCCCAGAAACTCTTCTTGCACATACTTTTCACCCATATACTCTTCACCCAGAGACTCTTCACCCAGAAACTCTTCTTGCACATACTTTTCACCCAGAAACTCTTCTTGCACATACTTTTCACCCATATACTTTTCACCCAGAGACTCTTCACCCAGAAACTCTTCTTGCACATACTTTTCACCCATACTTTTCACCCCGAGACTCTTCACCCAGAAACTCTTCTTGCACAGACTTTTCACCCATATACTTTTCACCCAGAGACTCTTCACCCAGAAACTCTTCTTGCACATACTTTTCACCTATATACTTTTCACCCAGAGACTCTTCACCCAGAAACTCTTCTTGCACATACTTTTCACTCATATACTTTTCACCCAGAGACTCTTCACCCAGAAACTCTTCTTGCACATAGTTTTCACCCATATACTTTTCACCCAGAGACTCTTCACCCAGAGACTCTTCACCCAGAAACTCTTCTTGCACATACTTTTCACCCAGAGACTCTTCACCAGAAACTCTTCTTGCACATACTTTTCACCCAGAGACTTGTCACCCAGAAAGTCTTCACCCAGAAACTCTTCTTGCACACTTTTCCCCCATATACTTTTCACCCATAGACTCTTCACCCAGAAAGTCTTCTTGCACAGACTTTTCACCCAGAGACTCTTCACCCAGAAACTCTTCTTGCACATACTTTTCACCCAGAGACTCTTCACCCAGAAACTCTTCTTGCACATACTTTTCACCCATATACTTTTCACCCAGAGACTCTTCACCCAGAAACTCTTCTCGCACATACTTTTCACCCATATACTTTTCACCCAGAAACTCTTCTTGCACATACGTTTCATCCATATACTTTTCACCCAGAGACTCTTCACCCAGAAACTCTTCTTGCACATACTTTTCACCCATATACTTTTCACCCAGAGACTCTTCACCCAGAAACTCTTCTTGCACGGACTTTTCACCCAGAGACTCTTCAACCAGAAACTCTTCTTGCACATACTTTTCGCCCATATACTTTTCACCCAGAGACTCTTCACCCAGAAACTCTTCTTGCACATACATTTCACCCATATACTTTCCACCCAGAGATTCTTCACCCAGAAACTCTTCTTGCACAGACTTTTCACCCAGAGACTCTTCACCCAGAAACTCTTCTTGCACATACTTTTCACCCATATACTTTTCACCCAGAGACTCTTCACCCAGAAACCCTTCTTGCACATACTTTTCACCCATATACTTTTCACACAGAGACTCTTCTTGCACAAACTTTTAACCCATATACTTTTCACCCAGAGACTCTTCACCCAGAAACTCTTCTTGCACATACTTTTCACCCATATACTTTTCACCCACAGACTCTTCACCCAGAAACCATTCTTGCACATACTTTTCACCCATATACTTTTCACCTAGAAACTCTTCTTGCACATACTTTTCACCCATATACTTTTCACCCAGGGACTCTTCACCCAGAAACTCTTCTTGCACATACTTTTCACCCATATACTTTTCACCCAGAGACTCTTCGCCCAGAAACTCTTCTTACAAATACTTTTCACCCACATACTTTTCACCCATAGACTCTTCACCAAGAAACTCTTCTTGCACAGACTTTTCACCCATATACTTTTCTTCCAGAGACTCTTCACCCAGAAACTCTTCTTGCACATACTTTTCACCCATATACTTTTCACCCAGAGACTCTTCACCCAGAAACTCTTCTTGCACAGACTTTTCACCCAGAGACTTTGCACCCAGAAACTCTTCTTGCACATACTTTTCACCCATATACTTTTCACCCAGAGACTCTTCACCTCCCAGCAGTGCCAGGAACCAAACGCGGGCCGAGCTAGCTTTCGAACAGGGCCTCGTTGCCCCAACCCCCGGACAAAAAACACACACACACAATACCGGCTTGTCGTGGCTTTTCGGTTATTTTCACCAACCATGAAGTGTGAGTGTTTTGTTTGCGGTATTTATGCCTTCATTCATACATATGTAAAGTCCGTCGCACATGTTCAATAATTCCTGGACCGGATCGGAACGAATGATGAGTTGAGATTAACAATACCACCCCAGTTAATCATCCCTGGGCTCTCCTCCGAGTTGGGGGCAATACTAAAATCGATTAGGTGGTGTTTTCCCGCCTAAATAGTGGGCTCACCCCCTCAGTTAATCATCCCCCCGGAATCTTCAAAATTTTTGACGGGACTAATTTGCTATTGCCCCCTTTTCCTTTAATTGGGGTTACAGTTTCCAGGGTTGCTTACTGATCCTTTCCTATCTTATGCTTTTTGGTCTCATGCTGGCGCATGTTCCCCATGCTTACCATATCCTGCTGATGCAGCGATTTTTTGTGCTGCACGGCTCATGTTTGCTGTCTCATGGTTTCACGGCCTATACAACATATATATATATACATATATTGTATATATATATATATGTGCGAGTGTGCGCGTGTGATTCATATCTACAAACACGCACGCACACACACACATATATATATATATGTGCTTTATGTGTAAACAGAATACACACACACATATATATATATATATGTATAAATACATCCATATATAATGACATCTGTTCCCCATGTTTCTATTGATGCTACTCTAACAGTCATATGATGTTTCCTCATTCGCCTCCCAAGCGTCTTTGTGTCAAATTTGCAATTCCAAAACGCCAAAAATAAAACCTGAGAAGGGGGGAACGAAAGCCAGCATCCCATCTATCACTATGTTCCACAATATTTTTCACCCAGAGACTCTTCACCCAGAAACCCTTCTTGCACATACTTTTCACCCATATACTTTTCACCCAGAGACTCTTCACCCAGAAACTCTTATTCCACAGACTTTTCACCCAGAAACTTTTCTTGCACGTACTTTTCTCACCCAGAGACTCTTCACCCAGAAACCCTTCTTGCACATACTTTTCACCCATATACTTTTCACCCAGAAACTCTTCTTGCACATACTTATATACTTTTCACCCAGAGACTCTTCACCCAGAAAATCTTCTTGCACATACTTTTCACCCATAGACTTTTCACCCAGAGACTCTTCACCCAGAAACTCTTCTTGCACATGCTTTTCACCCATATACTTGTAACCCAGAGACTCTTCACCCAGAAACCATTCTTGCACATA